AAGCTGAATTCACACTGGACGCGTCACGGCGCGGCGCGTCATGACGCTGACCAAATATGGTTTGCATTAATTGCTGCTATGCGCACGCATCGCGTTTTTTCAGCCATGCGTCACGACGCGTCAAAGTTAAATAAATTTAACTTTGACGCTCGGTGACGCTCCAGAACAATAGTAAAGTCAAGAAAGATGGCAGCTAAAAACATAAACAAAGAACTTCTGATCGAAGCTGTTCGGAAATTACCGTGCTTGTACGATACTAGCAAAAAAGAGTACAAGGATGATATTGTCCGAGAGAATGCCTGGAAGACTGTGTGCCAAGAAATTTTTAAAGAACGGTATGAAAGTGCAAAAGAACTCGGCGAAGGTTTGTATTTTCTTGATGTTCTTTTACTCAACAGAATTTTGATTACTTGAAAACCTGTTTTTTTGAACAAGTTCGTCGATTTTGAAAGTTAATGCTCATCTTTAAGCAATATTCTATCTCAAACGAAGGAAAATATTTTTAATTTTGAGCGGCAATTTTAAAAAAAGTTTTGCTTCAATCAAGTGATAGGATAGTTCTTATAAAATATATCTAGTTGAAAGTATCCATCATTGACACACTGTTTTTTCTTAGATATGAACCTTGCTCGGAAAACATTTAAAAGCTTAAGGAACAGATTTATGAAAGTGAGAAAGGAGTACAAGCCATCTGGGAGCGCTGGTGGGGAACCAATAGAACCAGCATGGCCATTCTTCAAGCAGTTGATGTTCCTTGCCCCCTTCATGAAACATAGAGAAACAAGGGGAAATTTTGTTCTTCAAGAGCGGGAAGGCCACCAAGAATCATCAAAAATCAAAAGCACCATTGACACCGAATGTCTGCATGATTTGATTGGCGAAGCAAGAAAAGGTAACGAGCCAGCATTCCAAATTTCGGATAGTACCGTTACCCAAGATTGCACAGAGGATTCTTTTGTAGAATTACCAGCCACTCCGCTTTCCTACGAGAGTGCTGTGCCTAAAAATGAAAGAGCTGCAGCTGGATCTCCTTTGGCTCAGTTGGACTCTCTACGAGAAAGTACCCGGCCAAAAAACCCCAAACGCCCCAGACAAGAAAAGACCCCTGACAACAGCCAGTTTTTGATGAAGGTGATTGAAAATACCAATCAGTTCATTTCATCGGCTAGCAAAAGAGAGGAGCCAGATGAAGACGATCTTTACGGTCAAAGTATAGGAAAAGAACTAAAAAAATTGTCGGCCTATCAAAAAAGTTTGGCGAAATTGAAGATTCAACAAGTTTTGCATGAAGTACGGTGGAGCACTCAAGAATAGACTTCTGACTCATAGTAATCTGGCTGCTTGGTGTGGCAATTTTATAATCCTGATTTCCTTTGTATCAATCATTGTTGACAAATAATTAAATATTGACTCATGACTTCACGTTGTTCACATCTATTTTGAATACAGTATTGCGTCAATGTGCCTTCCGATAAGATTAAAGAAGCATACTTTGGTTCGCAACTCACTTAATCAGTGACTAGACATAAATGTTTGTTTGTTTTCAATTTTCTTGCAAAGAAAGGGATTTTAAAAAATAGGATACGCAAATGTTCATTATAAAATCCTTGTCCTTCAAGCATAGAATGAACTTTATTTAATTTGTTTGAAGTAGAAACACGATTTTTTAGTTTTTATCCTAGAGTTTTTTTAAGTTAAAAAAACATTTTGTTTCCAAGTAGATTTTTTTAGCAAAATATGATGCACAAATGAAGCCTTGAAAATCAGCTACAGCAGTCTAACTTTTACGAAGTTTCTGCCTTTCTAACTCCTTGAAATGCATAATTCTAGGATGGGGGCTACAAACCATCACTTTATGACCAAATAAATGATGCGAAACATACTATGCTGTTTAATGCTAAGTATGCTAAGTAAGTAAGTATGTTTAATGTTTAATCCCCTTTAAAATGCAAGAAAAAAAGAAAATGATGCCCATCACGGCTAGCCAATTGTTCTATCTAACAAATAGCTCTTTGGAAAAAGGGTCCCTAATCTGAAAGATGTCATAGGCCCCTCAACCCCGCTCTATATATGTTACACCCCTTCATCCGAAAAAGTAGAATTTTAAATTAAGAAGGCTCCTCATAACATAAAACGTTGCAGAACTTCTTTCAGAAAAATCGATTAATTTCTAGAAACTTGACCATGTTATCAAAATATTAAAAACATTAGAAATAATATTCTGTTAAGAAACTGGATCGTAAGAAGTTCTGCGAATATAATCATATTGCCATGGGAGTTCACCTTGAGGAGAAAGAAAATAATCTGCAAGCAAAGATCTATAATACTCTGCAGCTTTTGAATAGTTATTTGTTCCCATTTTGCCAATATTCTGTAGAGCTCCAGATTCTGACACTTCATTTCGCCAAGTGCCCTTGTGAAGAATTCCATGTGAATCTTCGTAGTCAGTATAACCTACTGGGCAGTAAAAACGACCGTAAACTTGCTGCGTGTCTTCGTGTTTCTTGAGCCAGTTGTGAAGAGCAACCGATGCCAAAACATTTTTAATGGCTTTTTCTGGGTGAGCCTGTATTGGTGATCTTAGGAATCGCCATCTTGCTGAAAGGATCCCAAAAGCGTTCTCGACCACTCTCCTAGCTCGAGAGAGTCGGTAGTTGAAGATGCGTAATTTCTCTTCAAGGTTTCTTCCAGGGTAAGGACGCAGTAAATTATCTTTGAGAGGAAAAGCTTCATCTCCTATAAAACAATACTTGGCTTTTGTATCAGTGTTTGGCAAGTGACCATGAACTGGAATATTCAAGCGTCCTTTATTCAAACATTCACCAAAGGAGAATTGTTGAAGACGCTAGAGTCACATTGACGTCCAAAGTCACCAATGTCAACAAATGTGAACATATAACTCGCATCAACCACTGCCATCAATACTATACTGAATGTACCTTTATAGTTAAAGAAAGCACTGCCTGAGTTTGGAGGGCAGTTAATTACGCAGTGCTTGCCATCTATAGCCCCCAAACACAAAGGAAAACCCCATAAATTCCAAAAGTCGTCAGCCAGGCGTTTTCAGTTTTCAGGAGTGTTTGGTTGGGCCACAGAAAGAGGGCTCAGTGCTTTCCAAATTTTTTCTGGCACCTCGTCAAGTATTTGGCATACTGTAGACCTCCCGATTCTGTAATTGAATGAAAGTGAAGCTTGAGATTCTCCAGTTGCCAGGTATCGTAAAGCTACTGCCATTCTTAACTGTGGAGGCAACGGCTTCCGTAAGTTTGTTGTCTTTCTGACCAAAGATGGGCCTACAAGTCCAAACAAATCATCGAATGTCGAAGGAAGCATTCGGAAATAATTGAAGTACATTGAATGGTCTTGTACCCTCATTTCTTGAATCAGGTTATCATAATGCCCCTGACGTTCACGCTCCTTCCATAATTTTCTTACCCAAACCGAACGCCGTTTTTTTCTTTCTCTTAATAACGTTAAAGCAATAGCTTGGTTTTCTGAATGCGAGAGCAATAAGCACATCTTGCTGATATGAAGCCATTTTATCTAACTAAAAACGCATGACGCGACGCTTCGTGACGCTTTGTGTGTGAATAGCATGAAAAAGTACTTGACGCGACGCTCGATGACGCTCAATGACGCGCCGCGCCGTGACGCGTCCAGTGTGAATTCAGCTTAAGGGACAGTCTGCAAAGGCTTCTAACTTTTGTTACAGGGAGCAAAACTGTGATTTTCGTTCTGCCATCATCAATCCTTAAACCTATATATTCTGAACTTACTCTTTTAAGGTTCCTCGTTTTGCCATAAACTTGATATCTGGTACAATCACTTTGCAAGGCAATCAATTTATGGCCAGATGAAAAGGTATGTTCCAAACAATGTGAAGGAGAGGGGAAAGAAAGGAAAAAGGTTTACAGTAAAACTGGCCTATCGAACACCTATTAAGGATATCTGGATGACATAAATCACTGAAATTGTGCATATCTTAAAAAATAGATTCTAAATATTGAAGTACAGACGCCTATTCATTTCTGACGACAATTTCACGAAAATTCAAAAAAAATTGCAAAGTTTAACGATGACTCTCCATTTTGTATGGAAACCATCAAGACCAATGAAATGAACTAGTTTTGTAAAGGTTGACATCCTTTTCACGGAATGGGCGGAATACGGACAACGGTTTACGGTACATGCGCAGAAGACATGAGCATAACGTCATGACTTCGCACAGAGTAACAGACATTCTGAAACACTTGAAATGGTATTTCCTGTCAAAAGCCCCTTATCTTGAACAAGAAGATGGAATCTCCACGTTATCTTCTGATATTTTATTCTTTCACTTCTTTCTTCACAAAAGAAAAGCAAAATCAAACAGTCAAACTTCTTCATATATTCCTTTTCCATGTTTCTATGCGTTCCACTTTACAAGCAAGGCACCAAAAGGGGGTCTTCACGTTTTCCGTCTATACCATGAAGTTGAAATCCACTTCAAGGTTGTGAATTGAACAAGGGGACTTTTGCAAAAACACTTAAAAGAGCAATCGCAAACGTAGAGATTGGTAAATTGTTGACATTAACAAGGGGCAGAGACCTGTTTGCTCCCCATCCCTCAATCCCACTGTTCTGCATCACTGATGTTAGCTGAAATAAGCTACTTTTCCAACTGGGTTACTTTACTACATGAAAATACCATGCACGGACAAGCTTTCATTTAAAACATTGAAGAAAAAGCAGTAGCCTACCTATCCATGGATTGTGATCCATACTCCTTCGGTTTGAATGCTTGGTTCAGTTGCTTTTCTCTATTTGAAAAGGAAGTAACAGGGATAAAAAATACAATTCCAAAACTTATCTGCACGGGTTTGGTAGAAAAAGGAAGTGAGATGTAGGGTCAATTAAAAATAAGACAGCCCAAAAAACGTTGGACTTACGGTCAAAGAACGAACCAATTAAAGCAATATTAGATATTAAGTATCATGTTCAAACTTACGCCAAAACCTCGCCTTATTTTCTTTGTTTATTTTAAGTTTAATGAAATTTCCGAAGGAAGGACAATCATTTTGCAGGAACGTGAAGAGCCAGAGCTCTTTTCAATACAACTGTTATAGAGAGATATGACCCTCCGGACTGATATGACTCCCTGGGTCGTATGATTCAAGACTCCGGACAAATATGGCTCCCTGGGTCGTATGGTTCAAGACCCCGGACAAATATGGCTCCCTGGGTTGTATGGTTCAAGACTCCGGACAAATATGGCTCCCTGGGTCGTATGGTTCAAGACTCCGGACCAATATGACTCCCTGGGTCGTATGGTTCAAGACTCCGGACAAATATGGCTCCCTGGGTCGTATGGTTCAAGACCACGGACAAATATGGCTCCCTGGGTCGTATGGTTCAAGACTCCGGACCAATATGACTCCCTGGGTCGTATGGTTCAAGACTCCGGACAAATATGGCTCCCTGGGTCGTATGGTTCAAGACTCCGGACAAATATGGCTCCCTGGGTCGTATGGTTCAAGACTCCGGACCAGTATGACTCCCTGGGTAAATTCCGATAGCCCAAGACAGCTTCTCTGGCACTTTTGTTAAAATGAGAAGCGAAAATTAGCTCAGTCTATTCTTTTTATATAAGAACACACTTAGGAACGCCGTAAGAACATGCCTAGTCTCTCATAAAAAAATTGAAGAAAAAACAATGTGATTTTGAAACTATTATCTTAAGCAAAAAAGAAAAGATTTTATCAGTTAATAAACTACAAAGATTTTATCGTGCTACTAGAGATGTTATGCAAAAATGTCTTTGTTGTTTTAAGAAAAAAATCATGTCATGTAAATGTAGAATCAAAAATCATTGCTGAATTAAGAACAACACTAAGATCACTAGAGTCTCAAATTATTCAAGAAATAGGAATATCGAGTCGCAGAAAAACTACTTTGTTCTTTATCAAAAAGAGTGTGGTCAACTTGTACCTTATTTTCCTAATTTTGGTTTTCCATTTAACTTTTAATTTTAAGTGTTTTTCTCCTAAAAATTATGTCACACTTTCAAAGAATCTCGTCAACTTTCTTTCCAAAGGAAATTACTGATGTCACATTATATATAATGACAGAATATGATTGAAGATTCGCAAATTCCAACTCGCAGTTAGAAATGGGGAATGCTTAATGCTTTGTTGAGGCTGGGTAAAAAATTAGATGGCTCTGTACACGTTTCCCCGTGAGTTTCTTGGGAAAGTTCAAGGGGAGGCACGTTTGATTTGGACCGTAAACTTGCCGAGCTAGTTTTACCATTCAAGTTCTGGCGCCGAAGATAAATTTATAGATGTCTTTACTTTCATAAAAAAGATAATATCATTGAAACTTATATGAGCAGCAACAAATAGAACGCTATCGCAGGGTCGATGCCATACGTGGTCGTGCTCCTCCCCTCCCCCCTCTTTTTAGAAAGCAAAAATTTCCAAGTCACAACAAAGGTGGTTGAACAACCGTTGTTAAGACGTTAAATGACCAAGCTTATGAATTAAAAAACCCCTTTTTATGATTACGACCCTAAAATATCACAGATTTTGAGCCAGGGCCTCTTTTAATAAATCATTGCTTGGAGTTGGGCACCAGCAACAACAAAATACGATCGTCCTGATTTTGTCGTACGGACTGTCTAAATGGAGCTTCCATATCTTGATTAGTCGTCAATTGATGGAAGAATGTTGAAATACTACCAATAAGATGTCTCTTTTTCTCGCCGTATTGGTTAGCTGTTTTATCATAAAGCTGTGCTTTCCAAAATTAGAATGTAACTATGTTAAAATGTATCAATGTATTAAATGTTTTGTTTGTAGCTATTTCGATTAGTTAACCTTGTATATATACGAATATATTGTTAGCTACAGTTTATATAAAATCAAAACAAATTTACATAAACAATCAGATAACTGAGGGTAGGGTACTGCCACCATAGACGAAAAGAAAGGCCCAACTAAAAATCTAAAACAAACATAGTAAAGTTTCGAACAAATTAGAGTGATCTGACAGAGAAAGATCCTGTACTAGTAAACTTGGTCACAAATCAATCGATTTGCAACAATTGAACTGTTTTCAAGGTACTTTATGGAACCCCTTTCAGATAACATCACCCAAATTTAAAAACTTAATAATTCACTTCTTTGACTTCAAAACGTATCCACTGAATAACAGCCATATTCTACTTTGAGTGTATGATTTTACAAAATTTTATTTTTTGTTGATTTGCATGTGACTTGACCAGAAACAGAGTGAAATGCCACAGCTAAAGGTTTAAGCACACTGTCAAAAACTTTGAAATAAGGCTCCAATCAGACAAGAATCAAATTATCATGCAAATTTGAATAGGTACTTATTTTCAGATCATTAAAAGTGAGCATTCTGGCAGTGAAAGCTGTAATCCTATGTTAATTTTTCAACAAAATGAACAATATGAACATCTAAAAAATAGATCAAAAACCAATAGCTGGAAGTCAAGGCTTGTAGGTTTCTGGCACAAACACCTGAACCCAAGGTCGGCCATGCCATTAAACCCATATCCATAGACAACTACAAGTTTCTCATACCTGGTGACTTTATAAATAAACAAATTATCAACCTAAACTTACCTTTCATTTTTAAAACCTCAAAAAAATACTTGGGATATCTTGGGATACCTCTAAAAAACCTCTAATAAACAATAATCTCACAAAAAGCATAAATTTCCATACTTCATGTGCAGTAAAGTAAAAAATAAACTTACTTTGACTTGAGTTGATCAATTTGGTATTGACGGCGTTCTGCTTCTCTTGGTGTTCTTTAGAAAGTTAAGTTGTAAAAAACATTTGACACTATTCAAAATTACTTATTTCACTCCATATGTAATAACTAATTTCAGTCTTGCAATACCCCTGACTTTTTTGGCTCATTTAAAGGGTTTGCCCAAGTTTTTAAAGGGTGCAACATAATTAAGTTTAGCATCTCTTTGCAGCTAACAAACTACAAAATATTGAATGGCTCAACAAATTCTATAATGCCTTAACTGCTTGTTACTTTTAGATTGCCCATCTTAACTTTGCACAAATACTTTTAGATGTTAAGATGAAGGTGAAACAAAAAGCTGATAATGAAACGTCAAACTATAATCAAACAATAAAGGAAATATTTCTATGCAGACAAAGAGGAAGGATTTAAATTTTTTAAAAATTCTTATGACAAATTTTTATGAATTAAGAAAACTAAATCAAACCAACAAAACAGTGATTCAATTACTATTTGGAGATTCATAGCCTTTCAATTTGGTAAAAAATCCATTCAGCACCAAGAATATTCATTAAATAAACCATTGAAGCAATATATTTCTAGTAATAAATCCAACCAAGAGGACATCCCGCTAAAACAGATGCAGACAAAGACAGACACTGGTAGACAGAATTTCCTAAAAATCAGAAAAGCTTTTAAGCAAATGATTTATACAGCATTAGAAAAGTGTTAAATGTTTTAATATTTACCATTCAATACAATGTTGTCTGTGTATTGATTAAGCATAGATGAGATGTATAAATGTGGTGAAAGAAATTATTTTTACAATACAGTAAGCGTAGGTGTGTCAATTGTGTTTGAATGGGTTGTGAAATGGAATTAAAAAAAAGCCGTGAACTGAAGCAATGTCTTGTTTCCAAAAAGGCTGCTTACAAAATGAACCTTAACCTGCTAGCAACATTAATTTATCCTTCGATGATGCTTTAAAAAGAAAAAACAAAGATGCACAAAAATACATCTTTAAATTAATGAGGGGGGGGGGGGCAATAGCTATGAACAAAAAGATTTAAGTTTGATCTTTAGCAAAGTCACATTTCTAAGTAGAATTCACCTCAAAATTATGAAGGTAAGTACAGTTATTGGACTACTGATGGAATGCTACATATGTCATAATATGGTAGTAGCCAGAGCCATAGATAAAACTTTTCAATATTCCATAAGCTCTATTATGACTTCTTTGAAAAAGAACTGTTGTTATCTCTACCAATGAAAAAGGGTGTTAAAATCTAGCTTTCTTATTAGGTTTGTGTTCAAATTTTAATGACATTACTTCTGTTCACAGCCATTGTTCTTTACAGCACAGATTTTCATTAACAGCTGATATTGTTCTGTGTTATATTTACTAAAAATGTATTGTCAAACATTAACTGACAGCAATATGAATTTAAATATACTACCAAAATCCCCGTGTGGCTACTCCATACAAGCAATTATCTTATGGTCTTCTAATTCATCAATAAACCCATCTTCAAGGTTCAAGACCTCTTGCAATACTTCTCGTGTGTGCTCACCAAGAAGTGGTGGTGGAAGAGGCTTCTTCATCTCAGAAGTGCCATCAAAAGCAACTGCTGGGCCAGCAAGACGCAGAGTTCCAACAGATGAGTGTGGGATCTCCTGTATCATGCCCAAATGCTTTACCTGCGGATCCTCAAAAACTTGGCTCATTGTGTTAATTGATCCAAATGGAAAACCACCATTTTCAAATGTGGTAAGCCAATGGCTAGTCTTCTCCTGCATCAATCGTTCTTGAATCAGTGGCACCAAAACTCTTCTGTTCTGCACTCTCAAGCCATTTGTTTTAAATCTATCATCATCTAGAAGGTGTTCCATGTCGATTCTCCTACAAAGTGCTCTAAACTGTCCATCATTTCCAGCAACAACCACCATGTTTCCATCCTTTGTTTTAAATGCCTGATATGGCACAATATTGTGATGTCCTGCACCAATTCTAGTTGCCTCAACATTGGAATTGAGGTAATTACCTGCAAGATGTGATAGGACAGCTACTTGTGATGCCAGCAAGGAACAGTCGATGTATCTTCCTTGTCCAGTTTTCTCCCTTTCCAATAAAGCTGCCATGATGGCTCCATGGGCATACAGGCCAGTGGTGATATCTGTAATGGCAACACCAACACGACATGGGTCCCCTTCTGGCTCGCCTGTTATATGCATTAAACCCCCAATGGCTGCAGCTGTCACATCATAGCCACCACGATTTGCATATGGCCCACTCTGTCCATAGCCAGTAACTGAACAATATATGATATTTGGTGCAACCTCCTTTACTTGATCGTAACCAAGGCCCATTTCGGCAAGCTTGCCAGGCATAAAATTTTCGATCAAAACATCGCTTTTCTGCGCAAGCTTTTTTATAAGGTCCGCACCTTTCTTGGTCTTAAAGTCGACACAAACACTTCTCTTGTTGCGATTAATGGACATGAAGTAAACACTTTGGTCTTCGCAAAATGGCGGGCCAAAAGCTCGAGTGTCATCTCCAAGGCCAGGCCGTTCAACTTTGATGATTTCTGCACCATAATCACCCAAGATCATAGTGGCATACGGTCCTGAAAGAACTCTGCTCATGTCGAGAATTCTAAGGCCCTCAAGTGGTGCTTTTGGAAGTGCCTGATAACATCGCAACACCGATTTCAAACCTAGGCCGTTTGCCCTCTTCGCCAAACTCAACTGCTTGGAAACCAAGCCTACAGCTGACGCTACCCGTGTAGAAAACATGTTTGCAGTCTACGTCTCAGTGCAAAATACGGTGGTTGTGCAACATAAAGCGAGAAGCAAGTCCGTTTTCTCCAAACTGCTTTTTATGCAGTGACGGCGTGAGGAAGAACAAATTATGACCTTACCCTTCCAAAGAGTGCTACTGCTACCATTTCCGAAATTGCATTATGGACATGAAAACCTCCTCCATACGACATCCCCATACTGAAATACGCTGTTCCTATTCGTTACAAAGGGGAATTATCCTGATAAAGAGGAAACCTTGGAGCTATAGGTGGGGGTCAAAGGTGGCGAAAGTGTCGAGATTGACGCGAAGCAAAACAAAACAGGAATTTGATTAAAATAATCATTTCAACGAGCACTGTCATTCATTTAAATTCGTAAATTAACTTAAACAACAATAAGTCACAATTTCTGAGGATTCCCTTTATGGGACAAAAAACGTATTGGGACACGCCAATGGAGTGTCCATGCAGGGTCTGTTTATAGGGTATGCCGTCAACCTCCACAAAATAGGGCATAAGGGCTATTATAGCGACAATTTTTTCAAAAAATTACATTTTGAAGGCAAATGCTCTTTTACTACCAGATGATAGTGAGTTTAGGTTTTGGGAAAATGTGCCAACCGCATCCAAAAAACCATTGCCTAGTCTGGGCTCTTAGCACAGTGTTTGACTTGAATTGTGCACTTGGAAACTAGTGGTGATTTGACTCCCTTGTTGCTTTAACTAGCAACAACAGGATTGACTCTAACTCCATTACAGTGAACCAATAATAGAATTGCACTGATTCTTCTAGCCTCTGTGCTTTCCAACCTTCAATAGGTAGTTCTTCTATGCTTCTCTTGAAGGCCTTTGAGAGGAGTAGTAGCAATCCAGAGATTTAATATTCACTTTATTTCACATTCATACCAAAAATAGTAATGATTTATACAAGAAAGCTTATTGAGGCCTGGGCTCTAGTAGTCCACTCTAAAAATAGCATCAAGGGTAATATTTTAATTGCTTCTGTGTTATACTTTTATTGTGTAGAATTATGTTTAAAGCTTTACCCTCATTGTCATTTTAAACATTAGTTAACTACGTATTGATGGAATCCGAAATAGAGGTCTTGGTTCAAGTACCCCAGTCTAAAAATAGCACTTGGGGGCGTTTTTCGGCTTGGGTCTGTTCGGCATCGTTATCAGAGTGTGAAATTACCTCAGTGTACCCATTTTCATGCTGGTATCACAATTCGCATGATTCATGTTCTAACAGCCCAGACTATGCCCTATTGGTGGCAGGAGCAAATTCGTGACTTCTTGGTGAAAACAATGACATCTGTGTAAAAAAAGCTACTCTTCTAATTTCGAAAGTCGTAATCTGCCTTGCTAGGGAGCATGTCAGCAGGTATTGGTAAACTCTTATATCCTTGCCAAAACTTTAGAAAAGCCCTTAAACATCCTTATGATAATAATATGGACATGATAATATAAAAACGTATTTTTAGCAGTATCACACAGAAAAGGGGGGGTGTATTATAATATCTGGAGGTTTGTTGTTTTGGTAACTTTGTAAAGACCACAAGTAACTCGACATTTAACTACATAGAAGTTCTGTGTTTCGACTGTTTATTTGCTATGCAGACCTGAACTGGCAGAAACATTTACATTCACCATACCATAGAATGTAACAGAGCCATAACTGGAGACAGCAAACTTTACTGGTGTGCCATTTGCTGCTGCATGCATCTGTTTCAACTCAAGCTGACTTGGTGGCAAATCTGTATAGTTGCAAACAAACACCCGGCAATCTGGCAGACCAGGACTGCTTTTCTTGAAACCGGAGCTTTTATAGTATACATCCAGGTAAGGTAATTGCTTAACCTCGTATGCAGCAGAGATTTCTTCACCTATTTCAGTGTCTTTAATGGCATATGATCGCCTACCTCCAGAAACCCGTGGCTTTATTATCTGCAACTTTGCCAGTATAGCTTCCACAGATACTGCATCAGTTGGTTGAACCAACGGTGAAAGGCTTTGTAATTTAGAGCTTGTTTCCAAACAATCTGCTTCCGTTTCTATTTCTTCTTGCTGTTTAACTTCGCTATCTTTTAGAACTCCTGTGCTATTTTCTTCCCCTTCCTCCTTGACCATATCAACAATTCCTTCATGTACCTGACCAACACAAAGTTCTTCATTTGCTACAATTGCGTTTGATTTAATAAATGGTTCCCCAATTTGCACACAACTATCCCTGCCCGAGTTTTCATAACTAGGTTCGTCGATTACAACTGATGGAGCAGAAATGTGACCTTCTTTCAGAGTGCTGTCTGACGAAGTTCTGCAATCGATATCGCGAGGAGATATGATGCCAAAGTGCGATTGATTACATGCATAAAAATATCGATACTTTCGACTGCTTATTACGGCAAAGCCTTGACGACATAAGAAAGCAAATGTGTTGTAATATTCTGAAGATGGAACATGGGTTAGAAGTAGTGCCCAAGCTTCTTGAACTGTTAATGGTAGCTTATTCGAAAACAATTCAAACACTCCTTGCTCAATAAGGAACAAAGCTTCCTCTGGAAGAGCGTACAACAAACTGCCCAATTTTGTACCAAACTTTTGCCAAAATGTTCCTACAGCATTATCGACTATAACCAAGCCTCTGCTAGGGTCCCATCTACCTGTTGACAAACTGCCTTTTCGACAAACCCTTTCTTCGCTTAGGACATCTGCTAGTTCTTGATAAAAATTAGTTGTTTTGTCTGGGAATTCATCAGAAACTACAGATTCTTTTTCTCCCCCAAAGCTTGGCAAAACAGATGGTTTTGTATTCAGTTTAAGCAAATAATCAGCGTCTGTTAGACTTTGTGGAAATTTTGGGAGTTCATCGGAGTCAAGATGCACGACTTCCATTGGATCCGGAAACTCAGCTTCAACTTTCTCCATCGCAGGGGTAGCTTTGTGAATTCTTAAACGCTCGCGGAAAACTTTAGAAAAATATAATCGATAGAGGCTGATTAATCTAGTTTTCAGCTTTGTTAGAAACCAGTCTTCACTTGTGCAAGCTCGCGGTCTTTAAAGAGTAATTCTTTGGATTCTTTCACTTTTTGACTAGCTTGATCACTATAAATAACAAAGAGAACTTCATAACAACTTGTCGGAGCATTGAGGCACTTCCTTGCACAACTACCAACAAAATGTTCGTATTTAAATTAACATAAATTAAGATTTGCGCACAAACAAAGACTGTAAGTAGCATTTATCGAGTAACATTTTGATACCTGTATGATGTCAGTATATACGCGCGACAGAAAATTAAGGGTGCGGGCCTATTTTGTTCCCAAATGTTTGCCTGAGCATCAGCCATCTTTTTACCTGATCGACCGAAAAGTATTATCAAGAAAATGGCTTACGAGCAGTATTACAGGAAACAGTTTTCGCCTGGTCTGAGACGCAGGCTGCATTTCTTTAAGAAAATTTGCAGGACAACAAGAAAATAGATTAAAACATTGATGTCCAATATTGTTTAGAAATAACAAGTCCGGGTTCTGGCAGTTGTTTTATATGTGCTAAAAAGTCGCTCAATAAAATGCAGATGATTTTAAATCTGGCCAAAAATGATTGATGTGACAGTTTATTAACTGTTCTATAGTTGTTCTAAAGTATCTAAATTACTTAAAAGACATACAGGCTAACAATGCAGGCCCTTACCAACTCAAATAACCGTAAAACCTTATAACCATCTCAAATAGCCTTATATAACATTAAAGCTGAGATGCATATGCATATCAGATAAAAAAAGAAAAGATACATCATATGTGAGGACGATGATCTCATCAAATCATTTTCAAGATCCTTTATCATATCTGAGAATTTCTGCAAATTCACTCTGATGTTGGAAGCAACCTTTAAAAGATGAGAGAAACCTCCCATTACTCACAGAGAATCTCGCTGAATCTTGAATTAAATAATGCATACAAGCAGAAATCATATGCACATATTATCAATCATAAAACTTAAAGGGCATATGTCGCATTAACCGTTGGCAAGTAAAACAAAAGCGTTTGGAGTGGAATTACATTGTTTCGTGACTTTTTATTTCTGCTTCTTAAATTTTTTACTGCCGTAAAAATTCACCCTCGATTTCATGCTTTGTACTAAACAAAAAAGATAATTGTTTTGCATTAGCCAATCATGTTCAAGACACATGCCCTTTAAGCACAGACACAGTCTTCATAGATGAAGATAATTTGTAATTATTAAATATGTAAAAGTGTCCTAATAAGGGTGATGCATGAATATAAAGCATGAAAACACCACAATATTCAAAGATGACGATAATTGATGATGAAATATGTGAAAATATAGTAGAATGCATAATTATTAAGAATAAGAAAGCGCACAATTTCATAAATGACGATAATTCATGATCAAATATTCGAAAAAGTTCTCATAAGGATGATGGCTAATTATAAAGCATGAAAAAGTGCTCAATTTCATTGATAATGATAATTTATAAAAACTTTCCTAAAAAGGGTGATACATAGAAAGCATAAAAAAGCAATAAAGCATAATATATATTTACGATGATGTATGTGGAAATGTCCTTAATTGTTACAGAAGGTTCTAGGGGCGAGCCCATTGCGGTTTGGAGGTTTATGATTTATCCCATTCCCTTCAGATTTGCGCTTGAACACCAGCGCGGTTTCAGTAAAAATTTAGAAAATCCGTTCGCAAAACTGCTTCGGCAGATTTAGAACTTCCAGCTTCTGACAGAGACAGAAAGGAGTCCCTAGAGGCCTTAAAGCGTTGAAAAAGTATGCGACAACACAGATTAAAAGGGGGATATGATAGAATGGTTATCAAAATTAATAGGCAATCAGCTCAAGAAATAATATAAATAGATATGGATAGATAAAACAAAATACTTCGGCCTGTCGGTGTTAATTGTTGCAAAGCGAAAGAGAGTCAAAAGAATGCGAGCGCATTCGATGGTAAAAAGAGAGCCATATGGCTAGAACCACAATTCGAGGGGTGGTCTAGACAAAAAAAGTCATGAAAATTGAAGACGAGAGAAAAAAATCTCTATTTCCAAACCCAGTCTTGGATGCTTGCAACATGTGACTGGGTATAACCACTTGCAAATATTAGGTCATCCTGAGAAACTACCTGAGTTTTGAGGGCTGGATCGGCTACCAAAGCAGAGATTTCTGTGCGATTACATAGAGAAGGCATTGGGTTTGGGAATGTATCTTAGTCGACGACAAAGCATCGGTAGATATTGTCTAGATCGTCAACCCCCATTACCAAGCTAGCCTGTCTTGAGTTTCAACCAGATCTCGGTTAACCAGGCTAACTTACTTTCCAATTATTGAAAACTTTATTGACATAGACAGTGTTGTCGTGGTCACCACCCTACCTAACGAATCTATCTCGCATAACTGGGCCAGCCCACTACATATAATCAGCTCCTTTTAAGCCAGTCTGTGGTACACACGAGAGGCCTTAATCAGTAATCTATCCATGGAACCATGGTATCTGACAAAAACGCTGCATCCAACATAGCTTTGATTAAATTATTTTAAGGTTAATGATTTGAGAAGGGCCTGCATTAAATAAAAAATAATTCTATGTAAGAATATTTTAGGATCAAAACTATTAGTCATTGTCTTGTATACTTCAATTGTCGTAGTTCCAATGCGACACATCAAAGCATTAAAGGAAATTTGTATTCTGAATCGAAATGACGACAGTCGCCAAGCTGCACTTACCCTTGAGCTGCCTGACCCAAGTCTTTGGCTTTGATTTCTTTCATTAATCAACTGCATGGTTTCCTGGCCAAGCTGCTCAGCAGCTCGGATACTAACCAACCTATCAGAGAACAAATGATTTAAATAAAGCAACAAGTAACTTTGGTGTAAGGTTGATAGTGTGCAGTGATTTTTAAGAAAAGGGTTTAAGGGTGTAGCATCTTGGGTGTAGCACCCATCCAATGACCAGTAGTAACGACCAACCTACGACCAAAAAGAATTAAAACAGCAATTTCAGGAGAACTTAAAGCTATTGTTGAAATAAGTTATCTGGTGTTAAGAAGATACAATTCCAATTGGCAAAAGTCTTATAGCTATAGGTGTCTGATTTAGGTACATAAACTGGAAATCAAATAAGAAAAGCTTTGGTGGGGTATGATCTTACATTGGACAAACATTTTAGGTGGTGGATTTCTATAATTTTAACATGGATTGGTTGCCATATTACTTTCCATCATTTTTGGGCTCCTGCAGTATTTTGGATCTGGTTTCTTCACTGACTTGACTAAAAGATATAAACCTAGACCACTAGATTCAACAGATTCTGTGGGCTTTAATTTGCAAATTTTTAAACTTTCTATCAGCAAATGCACAGTGTTATGAAAACTGATTGATAAAATGAGCAGCATGTTTTTTGAGTAGTTGATCTTAGAGCTACCATATTGTGGCTCTGTCTCATGACTGCAGTCCTTTGTTGTCAAAGGTGCTTTTCTGGCAAATCCAAGTATCAACAACTTGATACTGTATCTAACTTTCCATTGTTTTTATGACAATGTTTCTCAGAACACATAAAACACTTTCTTAAACCAAAAGTCAACCCATTCTCAAATTTTGACTACAAGAGAAGTTGGGAACCATTCTTCAAATGCTGCTCTTATCCTGAAGCCTAACCTGTTGCTCTTTAGCCCCCCCCCCCCCCCCCCCCGGTTGTCTAAATGACTGGAATTTTTCATGATATGCCTGCCAATTGCAGCTGCTGCAAATGTAGATATCAGATGTGCAAAACTAACTTTGTGTTCATATGCCACTGTGAAAAATTTAAACCTTGAAGCTAAACATAGATTAAAGACAGCAATTAAAATTTCAGCGTGACTCAAATTGTTCAAAGTTTTTTTGCCTGCAAAATTTCTTCAACGTCTGGGCTGGGTAATGAATTAGCAAACAATTTAAAAACTGGGTTTCATTTCCAGAGGTCAAAAAAATTCAGCAACCTATTAAAGTTGTTTCTTACAGAAAAGTCTAAGAGTCATAGGGGTAAAAAAATCAGCTCTCAGCTCTGCTCTATCAGCCCTGGTAGACCTGCAGACCCGCATCACAGTGTGATGATATTTCTACAACCTTTCAGACAATTTAAACCCACTATCTACCATGCATGCATTGTCTCGACTTAGGAAAAGGGATATTAGTTTGTAACTCTCCTTACTTTTTATAACTTATACTCCCAAAAGCTCTTTGTCGACTCTTGAATAGAAATCCATAAAAGGAGACTAAACAAAAGACTGTTCTGAAGAGTGCTGAACTGGACTGTGTGCACTCCCCTGCAACCTCTAAACCTGGGTATGTGACTGCTTAGTAATAAATAACACACTTGGATTCAATTTCCTGGCGAACAACCTCATGTAAACATATGCATGAACCAGGAAACCAGTAGGTTCTCCATAAAAACTGTAAAAATAGCTGGATTAGCCCCTAAAATCTAACAGGATAACATCAATTTGATCACAATTTTCTAGACATTTTGCTAAATCATTTATAACAAAAGTCAGCTGGGACTCAATGTCCTTTTTAGACTTCTTCAGTCTTTGGGAATGATACTTATGGTCATTGGAGTTTTGATTAATTTTTCATGGTAGGAGCTATCAATGGAGCACAAAAGTTAGACAGGGGTCTCATCTGGATCAGATGATTACTTTGTAACAACCTGCTTCAACAATTCATCATTAGACACTGTGATTGAAGGATCATTCCATATCAAATGATCAGATATTTTAAGATTTGCAAATCATGGTCTCATAATTCCTGATTTTTTTTGCCATAGAGAGCCTCTTTGGAGAAAACATCACATGCAAAAATTTAGCCTTATACCTCTTATGCTTTCCAATTTGTAGCTGTTTCAAAAGTGACCCATTTTAGCCAAATATGCCACACCCGGTTCACCAAGCGATGGATGGGGCTTTCTATCAATAGCTGTAACTTTTCTATAGTTGTTCGTATTTGTTTGAAAATAATGTCAATTATGTCAAAAAGGAACTGACTTTGCTGAAAACTATTCATTTTTCACTCAAGATAAAATTCAATTGGCCCATTGGAACAAGCAAAGTTGCATGCTACACCCCAGTTTTTTCACCTTAAGATCAAAAGATTCCTTCAAGTATATTTTTGATGAAAGAGACCTTGCAGGAAGCTTCCTTTGCTTCTAAAAAAGCAGGGAATCGCATTGGGACATGAAGGATCAAGTATGTTGCTTGTCTATATTACAATGACAGGTGGGTAGGTATGATTCTTGACGTTAATTAAGATGAAGGGGACTTTCAAATAAACTTCATGCACCCACCTAGACCCACTCAGAACTTTACATGACCAAGCAGATCACACATATGTTGGGTATCAAATTTACACATTCTTTGCAAAATTGATTGATCCAAAATAATCAAGGTCAAACTTACAGCATTGGCTACAGCGACTATAAAGCAGTATCTTTCAATGGCTAGGAATCATTGTTAACTATTCTTTGCTGTCATTGAAAACGAAATTGATTCAAACTTTTTGGTTTTACGAAAACCTCATACGCTTTTTCAAGCAGTGACCCACACATTCTAATACAAAGATGACATCAGGTCTTCATAAAAATCAGGTCTCAATTTTATTGCTCACGTGTCATCACACGTCATCGCATGCCATTGCACGCCTAAACTTTTCAAGGTGTGCAATTACCAGCATGCCGCCAAATTTCAAATTACCAGGACTGAATGTTTTTAGTAGCCCTTTGTATTTCATGGGGTATTACTTTCTAAAAAAACTTGTTTTTGCTCAAGACCCTGGGTGCAATGTATTTGATGATCAGACATGGAAAGATAGACTTTGAGTAACATTTACTTTATGTCAGCTAAACTTAACTGGTTTGTTTCTTTATTGAATACAGATTCAATCCTGGTAAAATTAGCTGTGCGATTACACATGCTTGCCTCAATACACACCCAAAATGACCCAGGCGTGCTTTTTTTCAAACATGCACTGCCACATTTTGACTGATATTCCTCATCTCTTTTGTTTCTTTTAATTTCTTGTCAATTTTCTCACAAGTAGTTACTTAATTTCATTTACATGAGCAATCTAGATTGCATATGGCCCTGTTTCTATTACTCAGCTTTTCATTTTTCTCCATAACCAGATCATCCCATTTTCATATTTCTTGAACTGTTCCCCTCCAGGCCACTCTGTTTTGGTCAAAATGAAAACAAAATTGTTTTCATTACTCCATTTTTATCCATTCTCATTTCATTTGTTTGTTTATTTTGTTACTCATTGATGCAGTGACTCTTAAGGAAAGCTGAGAATTAGTTTTTTTTCTTTTCTGTACTGAGAAATCACTATATGACTGCTTACCACAGGGGTGCCCAATGTACGGCCTGCTTGCCACATGTGGCCTAGGAGGGCATATTCTGTGGCCCTTATTAAGGCAATAACTTTTGATAATTTGACCCGCTGCACTATCTCTTTGTAGTGCCATTCCTACCAAAATTATTACAAATCATTACTATTCTTACATTCCCATTATTAGGGAATACTTTCTTATGATTATGCAATATTATTTGATCTGAAAGCAGATGTTTTCTGCTATGTAGCTGAACAAATCAAATGAAAGTTTCATACCAACATTTACATGACATTCTTTGATGTCAACTACCAGCTTAATGTGTGATGTGAATGAACTTTCTGCACACAGAAAATGTAACATTGCGTATTTATAACTTTCGCATTTTACAACTGTTTATATATAACTTTTCATATAATTTTTCATGTAATATCAATTTACTGCAAGTTACAAAACTTACCGCTATTACATTATTTTCTATCTGGCCTCGCCTGTGACATAAGATTTTGTCTGTAGTCCAACTCAAAAATTTAGTTAGACACCCCTGGCTTAGCCCGTAAATGTTCCAGGAAGGTTTCGTTTAAAGGTCACACCGCCACCATATTTTAGCATGTGTCTGCAATTATTAGTTTCAGAAATTAATCTAAGACTAAGTCAGTTTTAGCTGCTCTAAACAGAACCAATTATTATTTGGCCTTTCCATTTACGAATGATCTTAACCCATTCATTTTCACGCTATTTGTCTCTTCCTCGCACTAGAACTATCCATTTAGATTTGTAACCAAACCAAATTGATAAGGTTGCATGTAGTTTCCGTTTTTAGAATTGGCCAACTCTATTTCAGGATAAACATGAAACTCCTCCTAAAAAGTCAAACCAAAAAGTACAAACATTATCATACCAGTGATCTGTTCCAGACATTTTCCTCTCAATGGTTGAACTTTTCGGGCCTAAAATTCAATCGCCCACACCACAGAGTAATGGAAAATGAAATACATAGAAGATAGAAAATTGCACCATTGCTTGAAAACGAGGCAGAAACATAATGATTTAATAAAAGTTGAATTCGAAAGTGATCGTGGGAAATAGTGCGTTTTCTCAAATCAGTGATATTCAGGTAATTCGGCTTTAGTGATTCAATAAGCAATATTTTCAGGATTTTGTTTTGAATTACAGTGCTTGACAGAAAATTCTGAAGATACAGCGGCTGACGACTGGCTTTTAGGGGAAAACAGCGAGAAGTTTTCCGTGTCATTTGTTTAGGATGATATGATGATAAAGCGCCCAGCTTGTCAGAAAATGATAAAGATGGTATAATACCATTCTCAACTTAATATTGTACGTTTTCTAGATGTATTGCATATTGAAAAATCTTGCGGACCCGTTTTTTGTGCTATGTATGCAAAAGACCAAAAAATGAGGGAATGTATTCTGTTTTGGTTTTTTGGCCTAGACAGTTTATCAGCTGAGAGCTCGACAGTTAGCACATTTCAGAAGCACAGTAAGAGCACATCTATTTTCAGTTTTTAAAATGTTGAATAATTCCTTTGGATATATACCAAAGTTTGGTATGCTATATGATTAGCAAAAAGGGTTTTTTGTCTTATTGAAAAAAACAAGTCACATTTACAAGTCAAGATGCTATGAAAATGAGACATTTTCTGATATTTTTTATGCAAATCAAGCATTTTCATTATCATTTATGTAGCTTTTTTTATTAGCATATTAAATAAAGAAAAGAGGTCTCATCACAACTTGTAGTTAATTTTTTAACATATTTAATACCAAGAAAGACAATTATAAAAGGAAAATAAAAATAATGTAGACAGCATTTACTTTTGAAAAAGATTTAGAAAAGAACCTGATTATTTTTAGTTAGGTCCATACTCAAATTTAGTAGCAAACGCTAGGGGTTGAGGGGACAGCCCCCTCTCAATAATTTCAAGGTGAACTGACAAGCAAAATTTTTTGTTGATATAATGCAGAAAACGATGCATGAAATTTTATTTTCAAGTTTTTGGTTAATGGTTATTGTCCGTTTTGACGCAATTCTGCTCTAAATGTCATGAAATTATCATCAAGTATTTGACCATTGTTTGCATTTCATGTGACCCAGTGCGTTTGACGTCACAAACACCATGTTTTTATTTCTTGAATGGAAATCACGCTCGGACTGGACAGTTCAGTTCATCTTGTTCAGTTACTATTTGAGGAGATCTATGTAGCCTTTGATCCAAGATAAATGAAAATCTGAGGCTAATAAAATGTACGAAGGATATGTGCTGGCTGGTATTGCATTATGTTAGGAGGGAATTTATATTTGGAAGGAATTGGCACTTTTAGCCTCTCGAAGAAATTCTCAACTCAAGTCAATCATGCGGACGAATGTGGCGAATGTAAGAATCTTTTTATTTTATCATGAAACTATCATGAAAGCTTCTTTTCGAATAAATTCAAAATATTATTACTTCGATAGATTTTTTCTACACCCATATAAATCATGAACTTTATTTTATTTTGGGTTTGCAAACTCATCAGCTCACCCAAGCTACATGAGTACAGCGGCCTAGGTATTGAAAATTTTACTAAGTTGTTTCCTTGCAAATAATGACTCTATCGTACCAGGTTCTTAACCCCTAAAAATCTTTCATGGATTGAATAAAGAATTTTCGAAACGGGGGGGGGGGGGCAGCAGCCCTGATAAATAAGTCTAATAGCAGCCATGTTTAACAAAATTAATATATTTTACTTAGGTTTCCAGAAAATAAAAAAGTCTGCCAATATATTCATTGCTACCTTTATATGATATGTTTGCCTGCCACACACTGGGTCCTGAAAGACGGAGGAAGGGCCTCAAACGCATTGAATAATACAATATTCTTACAAATCTTGTTATGAAAGGTTTGTAAAGAAGTCATAATCTGTTTTCCAATCAAATTGTGGGAATGGAGCCAAAACCTACTCAATTAATGTATCGATGCTCTTCGGCAAAGTCATAAAAGTACGGCCTTCCAGACAGCGTGTTGCTCAAGTGATGTGAACATAGTGTTTGTGAGGTCACAATTGTGCAGAAGGCTTGGACAAACTTGTCCATGCTCGGAAAATGTTTGGTGGCTAACTTTGACGCTCAATAACTCGAAAACTGTGTTGAATATTAAAAAAATAATATCGTATCAGGTATTTATGCTCGATATGCTTTCATTCGAGGTCAAGTTAATTTTTCATGTCAGTTCATCTTTAAAGTAATTTAAGGAACACGTTTAGTGTTAATATAATAACACAACATTTATATATTCAATGAATATGATGGTAGTATAGGTATTTAAAATTGAATTTTATGTTTGAAGTCTTTACATAAGGTTGCAAGTTTGAAAAAGAATGCTATTTTTTTCATTTTGATTAAAGCATTGGTATTTTATCTAAATCTAAGAGAGATTGTAGGTAAGGAACATTGTTTTCTCTTGGTAGTGTTGAACCCCATTGCATGAACTAGACTAAGTAGTATTGCATGAACTAAGTAGTCTTGTTTTTCTTGATTCGCTTGATAAAAAGAGAGTGCCTTGAAGTTTCTTGTCTAGAATCAGGCCACATTCACACTACTCTGTTTTCATAAGAAATTTAATCCAGCCCTCTTCATTTTTGCCTTGTACCTTACTCTGACTTGAATCATATAGATTTGAATCAGTGTAAACCGAAAAAATGGAAGCAGTCTGAGTGTTGCATTCTGTTATCATTTTAGAAGTAGACACTCATAAGAAATGGAACCAAAGTGTATTCTGCTGTAAAATATTCTGCGGACCACCTTACTCTTATATGCTAAAGATTTTTGTTTGGAAACCTGTAACAATTATCAATATGAATTCTGTCGATAGAGACATCAGGTTCTGTTGCTGTTGTCTGTCTCAACTCGCAATCACTTTTTGATTCTCTACTTACAGGAATCTAATTTTTTTTGTCTGATTCCAAATTGAAGTGTTGTGCTTTTCATCTTTTGTTTTGTGTAGCTAGATGTTAGGTTTATTGATAAAGGCAGCTATCATGCAGGGTTCCATGGTCATCTTTCACTGCTGTTACACACAGGATTGTTAAGGTCCATATTTTGAGATTGCTTAGGACTCTATAAAGCCACAGTGTGCCATTTTTCTTCATTAATACCTTTTGTCTATGGTACTTGTTATGAGTCAACTGGTAAAAACTGGATGAACCACCCTGAGCTAGTATCATTTGATGACTCTTTGCTATTCTGCAAACAATTAAATTGAATATGCTGTGGATATAGCTCATTTGCAAATTATTATTTTTCTAGCACAATGATGCATAGGAATACCTAATTGGCTTCAGGAACTTAGTAAGCTAGCCCTGGCAAATCCACTGATACTTTGAGTGCTGGGGCCTTAATTCAAATGTTTGTATGCTTACCTCTCCACCAGAAAGGCCATTTATTAATTTTGATCCTTTCAAGAACCTTCTCATGCTAAACATTTCATTCTAGTATTACTTTTGTGTGTATGATTTTTTGCTTGATGCCCTTCTCAAACCAAAAATTTTTTGAAATGAATATTTAATGGCCTGAAGCAGTTTAGCACATGTCTTTGCTCATGCCTGCACCTGTTTCTCGGAATATTAAAGACGCAATTCTGATTTCATAGTTTATTTTATTAAATAGTTTTAGCACTGGAGTTTGAATGGGTTAAATTATCTTATATGAATTATTTTGAGTTATGTTCAATAATGAAATAGAAAATTTATCTCATCACTTTTTGTTGCTGTATCAATTAATAATAAAGTGTTCTGTCTCTGTTCTGTCTAACCAAGTTTTGAATGATAAATTATAAAAATTTCATCATTCTTTGGCCCTATAAAGCAAAAAGTACTGAGTAACACTTGCATGTTTTGATTGGTCCTTATAAAAAAAACCATAAGATCCCCAGTTTTCTTTTCTTTCATCTTTAAATGTTTTTTTTTGTATTTATATATTTATTTTCTCTTTGATTTCTTTATTTTATATTTTTGTTTGTTCGAGTTTGCTTGCCTGAAAATTCTACGTATGGCTTTAGTGTTCCAATGGCATATTAATAAAGCCGGTTGATGCTAAGAAATATTGCATAATTTAAGATTGCAGCATTCTAAGATAAGAAATCAGTTTTGCTCTTTTGTTGCACCTGCCATAAGTTGAGAAACTTGAATGAGACGTTGGCCATATGCTCTTAGAGATTAGTTCTGACAGAAGGCAATCTTCCTAAAGGATGCAAAAACAAGCTCTCACTTTAGACGTTCTTGTATTGAGGCAAAGAAAATTCTCTGGTTATGTGATTTTCATCGAGAAGTACGAATTTCAGAATTAAAGAGATCGTACAATGTTTGTTGGGAAAAACGATAGAAGTATGGCTTTGCTTCCATTTGTTCTCTCTAAGACCTTTAATAAACAGGTTTGTGATCACAGCTTAAATATGCTCAATATTTTTGTATCAGTAGTATTTAGTCTGGAATAAAACTTTGGATATTGAAATTATCGATATTTTATTTTTCTGTTGAAGCAAACTGAATTAGGGATGTGTTGTATGAATCTTTGAATTTTTATTCTCGAAAACTAGCCTGTGAAAACTATGTAATTTGGAAAAACCAATGTAGCTATTGTTTTTCCAAGATCGTTTTGTTTATGACTTTTTACTACACAGCAAACTATTACTAGTTCTTTTTTAAGTGCTCCGTGATATTCTTGTAAACCGGATACGTTTGCAACCACTTGACTCAGGATACTTTGCAACCATAAAACTAATGAAAATAGTTGCTTTTTAAGTCATTTGTACTTTTGAGATAACGGGGAAGACATCTAATAGCATGGGGAAAAAGTCATACAGCTCGAAGCTAATTTGTGTTGAGCGAACTTTGCAACAGAAGAAATTCTTCTTCAGGTTTTTTTCACAATAGCTAACGTTCGGTTGATATCATCTTGGCATATGATAACGGGTGTTCACGACTCCCTTAAACCTTTTTTGCTACAGAAAAAACAGTTGCTTATCTTTTGCTATTAGCCTATTAAAAGCCCTTGCAATACCCCTCCACCGCTTTTAAACTGACGTTTGACTCGACCCTTGACTTGACTCGACTCAACTTTGACTTGACTCGACTCAACTAGTCCTAAAGTTTTTTCATCATTTTAATCATAATGCTTATCTAATGTTGAGTCATAAGTTTAACTATGAGTGAGCAGTGTATTGAAGTTTTGCTTTGCCACGCCAAATTAAACGCCCTGGTGCCCACCAACATAATAGCAGGATCGTAGCAAGGGGGCAAGGGGGCAGTCACTGTTTGCTTTCTCTTTGCCCCCTCCCAAACCACTCTACCCTGGCAACGCCACTGCCTGTTATGCAATAAGGCTCTACTTACCAAGTTCCTGTCTGGTGTAAAAAGTATTAAAGCTATTTTAACGTTATTTTAGAATTGTTAAATTGACAATGGTCAGTAAATATTAATCTTAATAGCATCAAATATCCATTCTAATTGACAGTCTCAATTTAATGTATTTTGGTGTAGAAATAAACTGATGTTTGGTTGTCTGCTGCCATTTTACCTTGCAGGATTTGCTCATTTTCTGTCCATTTTACCTTACAGAGGTCAACCAGGATTTGTCCGTTTTCCATCCACTCTTCGGTTGCTTCTCCACTTTTTAAGAGTTCTCTTCATCGTTATGTACATTTTCACCAGCAAAAAAGTAACCAGCCTGCTCGCTATGTTCTTTACTCTTCTTTTTTGCTAGCTAGAAAATAAAGCAGTACAATATATTCCCTGGATTTAAGTACCACTACAGTGTTCAGTTTAACGCTGCATTATCAAGAATGAAGAATCCTTCTATCAGCTGTCCTTGTTCTACACTGAGTAAAGTACTTTAGCACAATGACTCAAATGTTTTCGTTCAGTTGCTATCTTCACATGAGTCACTTTCCCAGACTCACGTGCGTCATCTAATCAAGACACGAAAATGGTCGTTGATCACTCACATTTGCCTATTTCACCTTTTTAGGTTCCCAAGAAATTATCCTTAATGGAGAACTGGGTAGATGACCTGCCTGTTTGTGGTAAGTCAGGTATTGGATATCAGTTAAATCAAAGATACCGTCAAGGTGGAGCTCGAAGAGAATTTCACAAGCTTGAAGATAGAAGTTTCAACTTGAAGCATCCAGACTTTAATACTGGATTCTACGCTGTATTCGATGGACACGAAGGAGAATTTGTTGCACATTACGCAGCTCAGAAAGTCCCTGCTGAGCTTATGTTCGATATCGCAGGTAAAACAATTTTAGGTCATTTACTTTACCCCTAACGTGTTTTATCTACTTTTTAAGCAATTGACATTCAGATACGCACACGTTTCTGGGAAGTACCGTTTATTATTGAATACCATATAATTCTTATCTCGGCCCTACCCCAACCCCATAAGGTCCCACTCCTGTACTGTTACGCCGTTTTTAAACTTATTTTGAATGCTAAAAAGGTATTATTTTGGCTGCGCAGATTATTTTGTTTTCTAAAATTAAATTAATCCAGAGGAATGAGCCATGTCGAAATCCAGTTCCAAAATTTCCATATTCCGCCCATTATATGGATATAAACATAGTCCTCAACCAAGAACAGAAGCATGCATTTATCTATGTTTTCTTTTTCTAGATCTTGAGCGTTTGTCTTCGGAAGCTCAAGTATGTGAAGCATTGCGATCTGCAATCAGTAGTGTTGAGCGAGGGTTTTTCGAACAAATAGACGAAATCCTTGTAAAAAGGACAAACTTGCAGATTCAGATCCCTGAAGTAAGTCCCCCTCGATGCAAAATTCAATTGTATATTTTTGAAAAGGGATGCTGTAGCTTGTATGTTATAAACTGGGCTGTAGCTGCAATCTGAATTGTGAAGCTTGGCCTGCTTGGGCATGGCTGATTGAAATTTCAGAGAAAGCAATGTTGACTGAAATAATGGCCAAGATTTGGTTTATCTTAATTTTTGTGAAAGACAAGACGAAATTTGAATTACTTTTTCATACCGCAAGTTAATAAAACCTGTAAAAAGAAAGAAAAAAGTTGTAATTCGTCTCACAAAAGACAGACATTTCCTATCAGACAATACTTGAAGAGCACTTGGTCCCGGCCACTTGTAAACCGGTGAAGTACCACATGTGGGGATAAACATTATCGTATGTTGAATCAAAAAAGGTTTTGAAATTGTTAGATGAAATTGTCTTTTTTTCTTGACATATTCCTGTTTATATTATCATGAAGACTGTTAGATATGTGCATCATGCCGAGAACCTCCGCTTGTGCGTCAACGTGCATTGAAATTAAGCCCATGACACGTTGGCAAAACGATGTTTTGGCTAGTTGCCTACAGTGTCGAACGCAAGGCCTCTGAATATTTTGACACATCTTAACTTTATCAATCTTAAAGATTCTAATTCGGTTCTCTTATATAAGATAGAAATTGACAATATATTTTATTTTTATTTAAAAGGGCCTGTCTCCATTAGAAACCTGTCACAGGTACCCCAGCCTCGTTCACAGATTACAAGAACTTGATGCTGAGATACAAGGAGGCACATCAGTAGTTATGGCCTTGGTTCAAAATGAGGATTTGTATATTTTGAATCTTGGCGACTCAAGAGCACTTCTTTGCACGAAAAATGCAGCAGGAGGATATCAGGTCGAACAGGTAAGAGAGCCTCGTTATAGGAAGCCCATCTATTTTTAATGACTTTAATCGTATACTAGTCATTGGAAAAACTGCTGCTGGAAGATTTGGGACTCGAAATTAATCACTGTCAGCTGCGTAGCATCTCATGGTCTCGAAAGACCCAAGACTTTCATATATTGTGTTTTGTCCATTTATGTTGAATTTTTTAGCATACGCTTCCCAAACAGCAACAAATATTTCATCGCATTATTTTTGGAGATTATATTTGATCGCATTTTATCCTACTATTTAAAGGTGTTTGCATTTTTCGACAATCCATGGTAAATGGGATGATAAAGCGTTCACATTTTTCATTTAACATCAAGACCTTAGGGTGGAATACCAGTGGAGATCCAACTAAATATTTCAAAACAAGTCTTGAAAGTCCCGTGTACACTACATTGTGTTCACAAAATTTCACTAAGAAGGGTTTGCTTTTCAAACAATCTTTTGGTGGTACAAAACTTGAAAATGGCTTTGAAAAAAAGCAAACATTTAGTAAACTAAAGCTTTTCGTCTGATGTGACAGAACATAGGCCTATTTCGATCCACAACTGGGTATATATATTTCCTAGCGTAGAGTTTTCGATCTGAGCAAAGTATTTTACAATTGTTATTGACACAAGCATACAGTATACTACATCCCCCCCCCCCCCCCCCTATGAGTTTTACATCGTTTTTGGACAAATCTTGAGGATCATATTTTAGAAAAGTGGGGGGTCCGGACCCCCCTATTCCCCCCCTTGGGTACGCCACTGCCTGGGTAAAGATCGCATACCTATGCTGACGATTTTTTTGTATAAGTTTAGCAATTTTGGGAACTTCTAAACAGTGTTTGAGTTATTTTCCATTTACGATTTGATTGAAATATACTAAGCGTCTGCCATTCCTTTAAAGGCTCTTGCGCAACTGGCATGCTTTGCGACTATATTTTCAAAACCGGCCTAATATCGTACTGAATTAAAATTCAGAACATAATCAATTTCCCAAGACAGCTGCCTTTAAAAAGATAGAAAGAATATCTGTTTTTATTATGAAACAGTTGCCTTGGGGTAGCATCAAGTTTGGAACTCTTAAATCCCAATAAAGAACCGCCCATGTTTGTATACCAAAGGGAGGAGGCTGATTCAGTCGCTGTTATCGCTAAACTATTAGTGAAAATGAATTTTTGTGGCAGTAAAGAGTTTTAGCAGTTAATTTCATTCTAATTTTAGTTCCTCTTTGTCATTATTTCAGCTTTCCATTGATCATAACCTTAAGGACGACGAAGAACTCCAAAGGCTTGCAAATCTTGGCCTAGACATTGTTGCATTACAAAATATTGGTGATATTGTGGGCTTGGAGACAACTAGAAGCCTTGGTGATTTTCGAGTAAAGGGTGGATATAAAGAGTATGACATCTTGAAGTAAGACTATGATTTGATTTTTTAGGCATTGACCATATTGCTTTGTATTGAATCAACTTGACTGTTCGTATTGATTCAATTAATTGTTTTCTTCCGTTCCTGGTAAAGCATGGATGTTGCTTTGTGTCCATGGAATAAACATGTATATACTATATGAAACTAAATGAAGGTCGGTTGGAAACGCTTTTGTAGCAATTAAGTTAAGGGGACAGTATGCACTATTTCTGAATGATTTGCTAGAAGAATTGAAAGGTTCATTATTCACAACAAATATATATGAATTGCCGCGTGTTATTCATATACAATTGTCAACTGCAGAATCATCTGATTGCTTACAGGTGTATTATTGCTATCTTGGTCGATATGTCAGACTTTATGGAACCTATGCTTGTAATAATTGTTAGCCTTGCGACATTAAGCAACTTTTATCAGAGAATGGTCTACCAAAAAAATGAATAAAGATTATTCGGCAATGGGGTAGTTGCATATCATGATCATGGTCCCTGATGGTCAATAGCAGTGGTAAATGCAATATCCTACTGTGCCCCAAGATTTTCTGACCCTTTTGCCTGTTAATCACTTCACTCTGCATCAACTGCGCTATAAGTAGTCGGACATATGTTTAAATGAAAATTGCTCGAGGGGGGGGGGGGTTAGGGGGGAACTAAGCCTAGTTTTGGACGATCAGGTGCCATTTTGGTTCAAAATTTGGACCTATAATTCCATACGTCTGAAAAAATGTGACCCATAATTCCGTATACATGATGAAAACGGCACCCATAATTCCGCAGGGCAAAAAGCAATCAACAACAAAAATTTGCATTTACATTGCCTAAAAATCGCAATTTTTCACATATTTCATACTATCATTTCTAACTGGGCATTTACTTTGTTAATGCTAAATTTTCCTCAAAATAATTTTGGAATATTTTCCCAAAATGGTACCCATAATTCTGTATGTTTCTTGAAATGGTACTCATAATTCTGCACATATTTCAAGAACAAATATCTAATAAGGTACCCTCTACTCCTCCCCTCCCCCCCCCCCTCCACCAAGGAAAAATGGGCTCTCTCATTTACATCTAAACTAAACTGCTTATGAAAGGATACCTATACGTTTTTCTTTTTTTTATAGACAAGCGACTGGTGAACCAGTAATTGCTGAACCCTTCATTCAAGGCAAAATCAAAATTAAAGATTCGTTTTATTTTCTTGTCCTGTTTTCACGAGGACTCTACAAAGCTGTCGAAGAAATCAGTGGAGCGGAAGATGTAAGTGCTTTTAGAAACGCAAGCTAGATGCTAAGAAATATTTTTGATGGCTCAGCCACCGTGGGTGGAAAGAACTGTTCTGTAACACGACAGTTTCGCGTTAAAGTTCTTTTAAACTAAAGGCTTCTCCCTGCTTTTTTCAAAGCGTGTCTTGCAACCAGTTGAATTAAGGATTTAGTTAATAAAAATTTAATAAAACTGAAAGATTTCAAATTTCATCATAATCGTCATTATTTATATATTTATTTACAAATGGCTAAAAACAAATAATGCTAATCAATGGTAAATTAAAACCTTTTGATTGAAATCTCCAGTTCTCAAATCGGTTAAACATGGTGTTTATGATATTAGAATATTTCTTCGCTATTTCTTCCAGGTTAACACATTCATAGTATCCTTGGTAGCGTACGAGCTGACTGAGCAAAGCACGACAGAGGCCGCTGCACAGGCGGTTGTAGACAAGATCTGCCGTGAACACCAAGACCAGTTTAAACGGTCCAATGGAACGACTTGCAAGGAACGGGAAGATATGACACTTCTAATTCGCTTGTTCTCGGCAACACTTCGTAAGAAATCGACTCCGATAACTCCACCAATCCACGTATCCGAAAATGGTATGCTGAAGAACATGGGGGGAAAGTCTCCAGAAGTGATGCATGTAACAATTCCATTCACACAGTCACAAGAGCCTAAACTTCCACGATTTAAACCAACGCTTATCATGCCGAACGTAAAACAACGTTCTCCTCTCGCCCAATCGTTTTCTCAGCCAAACTCACGTGTCAGCACGCCAGTGACGCTTACCAAAACTGCCGCTACGCCACCGATTGCCTTTTATCGTAATTTATCGCATGTCTCCGAAGACAGCCAAACAGCTTCATCCATCAACACACCTTCTACCAGCTCTTCAACTGACTTATTAGGATCTGCGACAATCGAATCTTCTTCGACCGCAGTCAGCTCCTCTTCGTCTTCGCGTTGTATATCGCCATGGTCGTCCACTGTAAAAGCTGATATCGATAAACCCCCTACCATAGATGTGGGAGAGAGCCTATTAGAAGCGACATCTTTACTTGAAATTTCAGGCAAGACAGTGAGTGACCTGTTAACACAGAGTTTATCAGAGGAAGAAGCAGACGAGGAGCAAGACAGCAATAACGAGCCTTCACAGCCACCTGCAAAGGAAGAGCAGAAGGAACCAGAGCCAGATGATGGGAAAATTGACCCGTACATAGATTTCACTGAGTTCATAGATAAGATAAACAAAGCAGGCGGGGAGAAGGTTGTTTTCGCGGAATTTATAAGATAATATACTTTCCTAGACAGAAGAGACAAATTAGATTGCAGTCTATCAAAATATCGTTAGTCTGATTTTTTAACAAGAGACTGCTGCCAAAATTTGTTGAGAACAAATTTGCTGCCTTCTTGAAATTGCATTGTGATGCCTTACCATCGAATTTGTCGTTAAAGAATTGATAAAACCAAGGTTAAGTTAGCAGAAAGAACAGAAAATGTTCTGTCAATTACAATTTCAGGGGATTACAATTCCATTGAGGGGGAGGGGGGGGGGCTTTATTTGTGTTATTACGCGAGTCAAGGAATTTAGGAGAAGTGGTATACATTTCAATAACAACTTTTGACCAATTTTGAAGGCAATCTGTCTCGTTGTGAATTGGTTAACGAAAACTGGAACAATAGCTGGAACAATAGCCTAAACACGATTCCAGCGCTCCGCCATATTTTTTACAATGCGATGAATTAAAGGGGGACTGGAAACAATAAAAATCTTTTTGTTCTTAAAACCAATCAACGTCGTGACAGATTGCCTTTAAGGCAGATATCAAAGACTGGACCAAGTGGTAATGTTCTAATTTTGGTGAATGATTTTAATGTATTTTCTTTGGTCACCGCGGGAAACCTCTACAATGATATTTTATTATAATGGGCAGACTGGACACCAAAAGCTGCCCTCCCCCCGTCCCCTTCTAAAAATTATGCAGTTTTCTACCAATTGAATTTTCATCTATGACATTCTATTCTATGTCATACATAATTATTTGGTTCCAGGCTCCTTTCGGTAGCAGATTGGCAGCTGATCACATTTCTTGAGTACGTGTCCAATCACTTCTTGTTAAATATATTATGACAACGCTGGTAATATTAATTCTCTTTTTTATTCATGAAGTGATTGGAAGTAAGTAACTCTGTGGAAATCTTGCTCACTTTTTGTGAGAATTTTTTTATTAAAAAATCTGCAACAATTCTTTTTTGTTAGTGAAAATCTCATACACTATTTGCAAGAGTGAACTGCTCAGATCATAAATTGCAATTTAGGCAAGGGCTTCAGAGCCCTGTTAACAATAACTAGAATGATTTTCATAAGGAAGCAAAAGATTGGGCAACCTCTCCATGTTAACCAGAGACAAAAACCTATTATAGTTTGTTGTGGGTCCGTGGCCAGATAATAAGGGGTTATCCATATTTCGCCTTGGGATTCAGACTACACTTCATTACTTTCCCTTTCGAATCCTTGACAACGCACGGTCGTCACGTGTTTGGAAGGATTTAATGGCGGGTTTGTCGCAACTCTTATTCAAAATGAACAAAGTCTTGTCATAATGTGCTTAGTATGTCTGTATCGTAATCAGTGGAAATATGTATATAAACGCTTATCCAAAATATCTTCAGAAGTTTTCTGTCGTTTCTGTTTATCCTCTTTTACGTATTTAGGTTGGATTTGACCCACTCAATTAAGCAAATCAGTCAAGGGCTTTCGAATTTTGTATTATCTTTAGCTTGACATACTTTGATTAGTTTCACAGAAATAAATCACTTTACTTTGTTCACTAAATGTGTTTGCTTACATATGGACACATTACATTATGGATCTCCCCTTCCCCGTAGCAGAAGAGTAAATGGGGTTTTGCAGAACAAAATGCCTCACCCAAGCACCAGCATTAAAGACTATTCTGTTGGGGTATCTTAGACTATGAAATGTAACGAATGTTTAGGGAAATCCCAATTTGAATTCCGGATACAGAAAAAGATTAGAGTATTATGAAAATACTGTGTAAACATGTAAGGGAGCTCTTTATAGACGGATAGAGTTCTCAAGTGTGACGTCACAAAAAATTATTTTTAGAATTCTCAAATTTTGACCACATAGCAAGAAAGAACACCATAAAACACTCCCATATATGCAAAATCAATTAAATTTGTAAAAAATCGGGTGAGTTATGGCCAATACAGAAGATTTGAAGCTTCCTAACAGATTACTGTTATTTTGGCTCAGTTCACAAGTTACGAACTGAGACCAAATTTGACAGTTTTGATGGGGCCAGAGCTTTTGCTCATCTGGTCATATCTCAGTCAATTCATGATACCTTTAGCTGATTTTGCAGATTTAGATGTATTTCATGATGCACTTTCAGGTTATGGGAAAAAAATTCAAAAACTCTAAAAGTAAATTTTTGTGACGTCATAATTCTGCTTGGCCTTTGAACGGGACACTTTTTGTAGACAGTAGTTACCAATTGATATAAAAACTGAATTTTAAAATAGGGTGCTTCCATTCTTTACCAGTTGCCTCAAGGTCCAAAATCCAATCATGATCTAACACCCCCAATCCTTATTGCCTAAATCCATCCCTGGAGCTCTAGTATTATCTTTCCTTCTTCTCCAGACAATTGCATGAACAACTACGCAACAGCAGATTGAGTTCATTCTATACATCTCCGAGTCTAGCATAAATAGCAAAACATAGAATATTTTTGTTAGTGTTTCAGATAAACAAACTTACTTTTGCAAAGGAAAAAAAATAAAATTAAAATGTTGTTCATTTGAACTTTTTTATGGCCAGAGCATTCTGTTTGTAAAAATATATCTAAAATGTGGCACCTCAACATGCTCACAGTAGAAATTGAAGTTAATGTCTGCCTATTCCTTTGATAGCTTTAAAATCAACACAAATTATATGGGTTACACCCTAGATGGAATTCCTAAATCATATAACTAGCAGCAATTTAATCAGTTGCAAAACATTTCTTGCGCCCCTCTCTACACACCAGAATTTCAGGAATGCTGCAAAAACCAGAGCAGCACAAAATCAGGTTGTTGTTTACCCAAGGTTTTGAAGTGCTCACAAGAAAAAGATTTGAAGCTTCAATCACTCTGCACAGATTAGCACTTAAAAATGTGCTGAAGTTCTTAAATGAGCCCAACCAGTATTGTTACTTTTGGACTTTCGACTGGTGATAAAGAATGACTGGTGAATGAACAAGATTGATGTATCTAATTCCAGATATGTGAGTGACAGCTATTTAACCAAAAAATATCAAAATTCAACTCCATCCCATCTTCTAACTTGAAAATATGCAAACCAGCAAGATGTGAACTCGCTTCAAATCCAAAACCATGTAATAAGGAAATCAAATAACAAAAAACAAGCACATTGAATTAAAAATGGAGCCTCTATAATAAAAAATAAAGTTCTAAAATAAAAAATGAATCCAACAGTAACAAAACCTTCACTGAACAAACAGCAAAAGTCCCAGCCACAGCTAAAAATCAGGAAAAAAAAGAAAAATTGGAACTGATAGGGATTTTTTGGTGACTGGATCTATAAACCAACAGCTAACTAACAGGAAACATTTTCTGCAAACAGGAGCCAGCAAAATTTTGTAATCAGGAGCCAGCAAAATTCTGCTAACTGGATATTTTGTTCCCTGCTTCAGCTTAACTGATTCAGCAATCTGCGCCAAAATGGTTTTTGGGGAAACTTATATTAGACAGGAGCCATAAAATTTTGTGAACAGGAGCCATAAAATTTTGTGAACAGGAGCCAGCAAAATTCTGCTAACTGGATATTTTGTTCCCCGCTGCAGCTTAACTGATTCAGCAATCTGCGCCAAATTGGTTTTTGGGGGAACTTATATTAGACAGGAACCAGCAAAATTCAGGAAGCTGGAAGTTTTTGTTCTGCAACATGCATCCTGCAACTGGGCACCAAAGTTTACAACAGGAATGGACAGGCACATGCAAAACTTGTTGAAAATATTTCAAATGATGCAAATTTTTCATAGTGTACTGCAACTGACAGGCAGAAAATGACTGCACGGACAGCATGAGCATGCAGCACTGGAGTCAGCTTATAATTCTGCATATCTATCTGCATTTTGCAAAACAGCTGCTAACAGCATCAACAGGAAACCCATATCTATCAAGGGAGTGAAACAGGAAATACAAATTAACTATGTGAAGCAGAGGCAAAACAAAAGGAAATTGCATACCCTAAATTAACAAAAGAAGATGCTAAAAGATGAATTTGTATTAAGGTTGAAAAAACATTCTAAAATATTTTTTCTTGGATTTAGCCTTCAGTTTGTCTGCAAAGGAATCCAGTCTACAGGTTTTTTATCTTTGTAACAAAAATGACACCATCTTAACTCCTTCCTCGCGGGGATCTACTTTTGCTCCGATATGGAGACCTGCTTTTAGATCTTGACTGTCGAGAGTAAGACCTTCTTGGAGAAGGTGAACGTCTCTTTGGTGAGTATTTAGGCGACCGCGATCTGCTCCGTTTACTGTGGGACCTTGATCTTGATCTTGAACGCGAGTAGGACCGTCTCCTGCAAACAAGATTTTCGAAATCAAAAACGTGTAAAGATGAGGACAGAACCATACAAAACTGCTGGTGAAATTTAAACAAAATGAAAGTAGTAATGTTGAACGAAGAGTAATCAGCTTCTGAAAGCACAAATTTAAACAACTTGAAAAAACATACCGGTCTCTTCTGTCTCGGCTATCTCGGTAACTTCTGCGAGGCGGTGATCGTCCGTATCTTCCTCCACCACCACCACCGCCGCCACCATACGGCCTTCGTCCTCTAGGAGCCATGTTTTCGGTAGGCCTATCATACTTGGCAAGGGTCACCCTAATTTGTCGTCCATCGATGACAGTGCCGTCTAAACCATCTATTGCGTCTTCTGCATCCCTCTTTTCATAGTAACGTATAAATGCGAAGCCTCTCGACTCTCTGCGATGTCGATCACGAGGAATATAGATATCTCCAACTTCCCCGTACTTGTCGAAATACCGTTCCAGATCATCGATTGAAGTTCTGTAAGTTAAGTTGTCAACCTTCAAGCTGGTCATTCCTCCAATATTTGGAGGTCCTCTAGTTCCGTCAAATCGACTCATCTTGAAAAGCGGCGGTCGATTCCAGACCAAGAAACTAAGATGTCTTCGAAAACAGTTTTGAACCACAGAAGTCTTTCGTTTTGCGGATTACAACCAACGTGCAGTGCAAGAGTGAATCATGTGACAATTAGCAGCCAATTGATGGCTTCTAGCAAGGTCAGCTGATCATTACTTCTTAACATCACAATGGCTCTTTTGTTTCACATAGACGTAGTGGCCGAGGCCCATGTCTGTCATGGTTTCTTTTTATTTCGTCCCCCTCCCCTCCCCCCTCTTCCTAACTATACACGCTATTTTTATAAGGAACCTACATGTAGAAGGACGAAATATTTAATAAAAACAAAATCTCTGAGGAACTTAACTGCAAGCATCATAAACTAATAGCTGGTTCCATTCATTTGCAGCCGATACCGTAAATCCTTGGATAAGCCCCCACGCTCAAATAAGCCCCCCCTCGAATACGCCCCCACCACAAAAATCATTATTGCAAATAAGACCCCCTCGAATAACCCCCCATGGGCGCTTATTCGAGGTAAGCATAATTGCAGAATAATATCTTATTTAAAGGAAGCCCCCGCATGACAATAGCTATATAGTATCACTTCCTTTGACTGGAGACCAAAAAGCAAAAAAGCAACTTTTGTGATGATAAAAAATTATAATTTTTGTTAGTTCTTTGTTAGATTTATTAGAAAAGTATTGTCGTTTTTATGTCGAGTTTTGGGGAGACTTTGGAATTAGCCCCCCCCCCCCCTCGAGTAAGACCTCCTCGAATAAGCCCCCACCCAAAAATTCATTTTTGCAAATAAGCCCCCGGGGGCTTATTTGAGGATTTACGGTACTCGCATACTGTAGATTGTGCTTCATTGAGTAGTTTCCGCATATGCTGTCTCGCCCCCTCTCTCTATTAAGTGTTAAATTGTAGTCAAAACACCGAAAGTGATATCGTCACTATAAATAGCCTTATTTGTGTTTTTGCTCCTGAGTTCTAGCCACAAGTAAAGGCAAAACCAAAGATTTAACGTTTTTCCTGTTTCTGTACCATTTTATGACACTTGATGTGCAGTGAAAATTAAGGAACTATTAAGGAACTTTGGTACTACAATTTGATGATTTGAGGTCTACGAATAAGAAACTTTTGGAACTAGGCCTTGAGGTAGGTTCCTTATAAGAAAAGCGTGTAGCAGCTTGCGCTACCATTTCCATAAATTATGAGCCTGGAGCTACACAGCCAAAATCTTTAAGTAATGAAAGATTTAGCATAGGTGGAACCATTAACCAAAAATTATCATACTGTATAATTTAGTTCATTGTTTTTACCCCAAAATAATAGAAAATATCGTTGAATCGTTAGATATACTCAAGGGCGTCGCCAAAGGGGGTACGGGGGTGTGGTACCCGTCGTATTTTTGTCCGTCGGCACGTTAAGGATTTTTGCCGGGAAAAAGAAGCAATTTTTGTACTTTTACTTTGACTTTTTTGCAACAATTATAACGTATTAACGTTTCTGTATTAGTTGAACTTTCAAAGTATGGCACTAAAGTATGAACTTTGAAGCACAAACGCACAAAAGCAGCATATAAAAGTATTTATCTTTTGACCATACCTTTAATAAACGAGACACTCTTTTATTTGTCGGCAAAAATCATTTCTTTACCACCCTTAAAAATTTTTGTCTTCGCCCCTGGATATACATCGTCGAAGGTAAGGTTTCCTACTGTCCACGTCCCAAGTGCATGAAAGCCATTTTTGTCTCAACCTCGTGTCAGCGAGGCACCAATGTAAATACAAATACAAACAGTAAAATTTCATTACCTTACCTCTAGCGGGAATCAGATCCTGTTTGCTTTGATACAACAGAAATCACGGATGGCAGACCAGTGTAGTCTCATGAGCCACAGAAGCCACGTTCTACACAAAATGATCTCTTTCTGCTGGTCTATTGATGCATTCATAAGACTCTCTATGAACATTTTCAAATTCTATCAAGATCCACCCTATGGCTTGAAGCAAAATAAGCGCTATTTTGCTTTCAAATCCAAACTCTCATATTCAGATCCAGCTATAATGGTGAAAGTGATTCCTGCATGATGACGAAAATCTTTAATGCGTTTCCATTCCGACTGACTGTAAAAAATAGTCAAAGTTGACTGGACACTGTACCATGTATTTGTCAATTGGTACAATTTTTCCTTAGTTTCGAACGTAGCTTTAGGACACCGTCAAGCTATACTTATCGAGCAGCGTCTTTCCTCTACCTCTAAATACAACCAGACTTTGTTATTCCTTACCGTGGGTTCCAGAGCCTCAATGAGGGAGTGGACCGGTGAAAGAGTGGGTCGATGTTCGAGATCTCTTTCACTGAGGCCCTTTGCTTTGATTTACAGAGAGCTGGCGATCATCCTGAATACCTTGGACTTCATCCTCCTTCGTATCAATTAACTACATGGTAGCCCCATTATGATTCTTCAATGTTAACCCTGCGGTATCTTTTTGGGAAATCCCATAGCGTTTACAAAGGAGAGTTCTACTGAATAGCATTCCAACACTGAAAGTAAGCGGCCCGAGAAATGCTTTTTCATTTTTGGGTCAAAATTTGAAAATTATGCATCAATTTTCATTTAGCTTCTTGTATCGGGTAATACCGATGGGGCTTCGCAAGACGGGAGTGAGATCACGTTTGTTCAGTTTAGATTGAAAGAAGAGGGGTTATAAGCAAGACCTTTTTAACGTACTTAATAGGGGGGAGGGGCAATTGCCCATCCATGCCCAGTAGTAAGGCCACCTTTATCGTGAGACAGTTGGAGCCATTTTCGTCTGCAACAGGATTGTGTTGTGAGTCAAAGGAGAAAGAAGAACACTGATAAGTGTCATTGATGAGGAGGATGAAAAAAACCGGAGATATTACAGAACCCTGTGGAACACCTGAATAAATTGGGTCGAGCCCTGTGGAACACCTGAGTAAAAAAAGCCATCGATTTTAATGGCGATTGGGTAACAATTGCATTATGTTGTAACTGTCTTCCTTATATAAAACTGAATATTCAAGATGAGGGAACTAAAGTTGTCATGAGTTCATGAGACGAAGTGTTCCTATAAAATCTGCGCATCGATTTCCCCCTAATAGCCTGATCTATGGATGATTGTAATTTGAGGAATTTCTGGTTTAGGCCACGAGTCAGCACCATAAAAATTTACAAAATCTGCCACACAACACTGCGTAGAAATAGCTGGGATTACCCCTACCTCAGTTTAATATTGTTTACCGATAGAAAAAACAATTAAAGATACACATTTCGTAAATTCAATTTAAGCAAGTTGTCAACATTTCATATGTACAGTGCAAGGATTTCTAGATGACGGTCAAAGAAAAGTCCTGGGCACTAGCCTAACAAAAATCATCATTCTAAAGTTCATAAACACTACGATTGGGCCATGTTAAAGTGCCTATTAAATGAAATTTCACATATAGTTTTTTTGATAGAAATTGAAACTTCTACATGTTGTTGCAATATAAAACGAAAATTAACTTGAAAATTTGCACGGAAAAGTTTGTTTTTGGTGTTTTAAAAACAATGGGTGCGAGTGACAAAGCAAGAGAATCAGTGACGTCACAAGGTTCAGTGCAGTTGGTTCAGTCTCCACAATAAACACATTATACCACTTAGTCAGGACTGTTAGTCAAACAATGGTGCAAATTGTGATACCAGCATGAAATTTTGCAATAAGGGGTAGCTTGATACACTGAAAAGATAGGATATGGAACCCAATTGAAAATTGCCCCCTATTTCTATTTTTAGACTGGGGTACTTTACTCCAGAACCTTTAAAGACGGTATTATCGCATATCAGTCACACTTTAGTACTACGGCACAAATCTTTGCAAAGTAGGACAGTTTTATACGCTGATAAAGATTGGATATAGACCCCGACTAAAAATTGGCCTCTTGGGCTATTTTTAGACTAGGGTGCTTTACCGCATGACTCCACTAACGACGTTATTTTGATACCTCTGCTGAAGGAGGTAGAATGGCAGGAAGCTTTGCAATAGTTGGCAATCTGATACGCAGAAAATAATAGGTTGTAGACCCCATCTGGAAATTGCCACCTTGTTCTATTTTTAGACTGGGGTACATTGCCCAGACCTTAATAGACGGTATTATCGTATTTCAGTCGTACTTTGGTGAAACAGTATGAAACTTTGCAAAAACGGACAGTTTGATGCTCTAAAAAGATTGGATATGAACCCTGGCTTCAAATTGCCTCCTTCGGCTATTTCAACTGTAGTTTCAATGGCGACCTTCATTTTGCTTGGTGTCCTAAACGCCAACTGCTTCCGCGTTTGCAAACTTTGTGACGTCACGGATAACGCGCGCTTTGTCACAGTCGAAAACGTGAAAATGGGATATTCAACCTAAATTTTTAGCCGGTTCCGCAAGAAATCAATCAGCTCAACATATATCATTGAAATCAGCAAATTTTGCTTATAAAAAGTGTGCCTTTATCTAAACTTGTCAAATTTCAGTCATAGGCACTTTAAAGGCTACAAATTACAGAAACAAAATTATATCATTTCGAAAACTATATCAAATAGTTTTATACTAACCATACCAGAAAACTAGAATTATACTAGTAGGTCCATTCACAATTATTTCAAATTTACACTATGCTACATTATACAACTACCATAAAACTCAATCGTGCCAACTGTAAACAAAATTTCTGTCTATGAAATCTGCATTGTAGATGAAAATTAACAATAAACAATAAACTATCCCTTATTTTCAATGCACAAATACAATGTTCGTGAATCAAATACGAAGATTACTTTAAATAATAATTTGAAATGAAATAATACAATTAAAACAAATTGCTAACTTCAAGCATTCACAAGATCATTTGGTACTAATTCCTGGTTCACCGAGATACAACGGGCTCAAATCAGCGAAGAATTGGTGATGGGCGGTAGCAACTGTACTTTTATATTGAAAAAGAGTCGAAGAAATGCACTTCGCTACTACAATAGCTATGTTTTATTAAGTTAGTCGTGGTCTAACTTTCTCGGGAAATTAGCATAAGGAAACGGGAATTTTCTTCCTCGTTATTGACCCTACCCGCTACTTGTTGCCCGCTTCAGTCTTGCAGCCAGTCGTATTGCTTAAACTCAAAAGTTGATTTGCTTTGAACGGGTTAATGAGAAGCAAAAAACCGCATATCTCTTTAAAGATTTACCACAGAATAGAGATTCTATTATGTGGCTTTACTTATAGATAGCACCTAAAAGTGAATGTCAGCCGTCTAGACGCTGCGGCCTAGTGACCGCCTGCCCGTTAACCCCGTTGCTCGGCAGCATTGATCCCAACAGAATCATTTCCCTTCTTCTATCAACAAATCTTTTTGTAATCAAAGATGATAAATTTCCTGATCCATTTTAAGCACTGCCTGTTTAAAATCTGAATAATCTTTCAGCTTGAAATAAAAACTAAAACAATGTTTGTATTGGCGATTACAGATCGCCAAAAAGTCAAAAGACTTTTAAGCAAGGATTTACATAGTTTATCTTAATCGTCCCAAATGTTCTTAAAGGATGTCTTCATTGTTTGTTGAATGCCTGCAGAATATATGCAAACGCCTATTCGGAATTCTTTTAGGACTTAGTTAATGCATACGAAATGCTCTACAATATAAAACTACATTTACTTGGTACAATTATACTGAATATTCAAAACCGCTATCTCTTTCAATCTTGCAGAGAGTCAGTTTTTTGAAACGCCTCTCCGGCTCTGTCAAGTTTAAAGCGATATATTCCCGTTATAGCATATTTTTCAGAAGATCTGAAATGCCTCTGTGATGATAGAACCGAAGAAAAATTGCCCTCTCCAAAACAGTGACAACTTTTTGTAAGCATGTTGGCAACATAAAAATTATTAATGGGAATCTCAAAAGAAGCCGAATTCGCTTCTCGTTATGCGAAATCTGTCTGTCTGGCATAGCTTGAACCAAAATTAAATTTGACAAAGGTGAAACCGTTTGATTCTTTATTTTTTCAAAGATTTGGCTTTTTGCAAAAATTAGAGAGCATTAACAACTTTCCTCCCGATTTGTTTGTTGGAACTTTCTCGTAATCACTTTGCTTTGAATAATGGCAGATCTGAATATTCTAAATTTAACTATACTACCTTTGCAGTTCAAACTCGTTTTCTGTTTGTTCAGCTGGTTGCTTTTCTGGTTGAACTGAGGCGTTCGGCCTCCATTTCCAGCAATGTATCACGTTTCCAAATTTTCCCTGGGGCCCAAGAACTGCACAAAGCGCCAGAAAGAAGAATGTCGAGTATACCCAACTAGTAGACATAATCAGCATCAGAAAGTGTCCCACTTGAATATAGGCATGTATCACAGAAGGCATCATCACCAAACCTTAACAAAGATCAAACAAATTCAAATAGCAAATTTTTATTTCAAAGACTTTAAACAGACATTTTTTTGGATTATTGCTTCTCTTTTAGAAAAACTATCACTTTCATATGCTCAAAGGTGCAATTGGTTCGGCAGTTCATGGTAAGGGTTAGAGTTCGGAGAGACAGATTCTTGCAAAAATGCTCTTAAGGAAATCTTCGAGACAAGCTTGATGGATTTTCCAAAAATGGTGGTTGTACGCTCCAATAGACAAAAGATGAATCTTCACCTATCGCCCCCCCCCCCCCTGACTTATCAGAGCTTATGAGCACGCTCTACTTGCCGAGAGGAATGGCTAGATAGGCCTTACTGTCATGTTTTTCTCAACATTTGTTTAGCGCGATATTCTTTTAACAACCCAGTTGTTTTTGCTATGTTTGTTACTTTTGAAAGACATTCCCACCACCTATGTTTAATAATGACTAAAAAAATTGGTGGACACTGCGATATTGGAGATGAGAAGAGAGGATTGTGATGTCAAATATCAGACAACTTTGTCATTCTCGCAGCCTTTATCGGCAATCTTGTCCGTCAAATTAGCTACAATTTCTGTTTTCGTTTAACTCTTTCAATCGCAATAAAACTATTGAAAGTTGATTCTAAGTAGCAAACTCACCAGCAAGAAATGTTGTCAGGGTTCCCATAGCAACAGCAGATCCCACGTGCCAAAGAGAGTAATGAACTCTATCCTTCCTTGATTGGGAATCTTCACAGCTGAAATATGCAACTCCATAGTGCAAAGTGAAGTCAATGGAAAGCCCAATGGCGACGGACATCATCATTGACTCGAGGACATTCAAGCGCCAGCCAGCCATTACAAGCGAGCCAATGGTCACGCTAATGATTGCAGTGATGGCAATAACGGCGAACAAAGTGATCAGAATGTTTTGGGTCGTAGCGAGTAAAACAATCGCCGAAATACCGATAGATACTGCGATTGTTTTGATAGTCCCATCAGCGATGCTCCTTTGTAAGTCGTAAAAATACAGATTACTGATCACCCATGCATTATTCATTCCTTTAGGCATTTTGGAAATTTCTCTTTTTGCAAAATCTTCAGTCTGTTTCCAGAAGTCTTTAACAGGTAAATACTTCAGTAAATACTTTTGGGTGGATTCAAACTTGAACACCAACGCTTTGACACTTCCATCACTATTGACTCTGATTGGCAAATTTCGCTTTTGTCCTCCTCTCATATACTCCTTTGTACAATGTTTGAACTCGCTTGGTGAAATCGGGATAGTCTTGTTACAGCATACATCTGAAACGGTATTGCACGGCTTGTTTACAAATTTGTTCAAATCTTCCATGAAACACCAATTATTTTGATTTCTAAGCTTGTCATAAAGACTTTCATCTTTTACTTGTTGGCAGAACCTGAGCATGTATTGCTGACTTTCAGGTGGGGTGATGTCAAAGGCATGGTTCCATTCTGTGGTTCCCGTACTATCGGGATTGAGAAAATACCCATTGTCGACACTACGAACTCCCCAGACAAAGATAATAGGAAAACGAAGTCCGTCTGTTGATGATATTTCTTCTATCTTCAGCTTCTTCTTAATGACAGAGCCATATCTCTCAATTTTGTGGTCCTCTATGAACAACGGCATCTCCTGGGTTGTTGGTAGAGAAAGTTTCGGGTAGAATGTGAGAGATAACATACCGAACAGGGCCAGAATAAAAAAGATCACCACCCAACAGTATCTTAGCTTGACAACCACCTTTGCAATCCACTGCTGAAATATGACATCAGAGAGCTCTTTCAACCTAACCAAAATAGCAGATGTGTTCAAAGAGAAACAAGGCCTTCTTCGAGAGCTCTTGTTTTCCAACTCTTTGAGTGAGAGTGCGGATGTTCCTGGGTGAATCTGTTTTCTAACAACTGGAGACCTACATGTATACGGTGCAAAAAACCTCTCCTGCGCAATTATCACTGCTGGCAGCCATGTGATCATCAGCAAATAGTTTGTCAGTATGCTAGTACCTGCAAAAATCGAGAAACATTGCAAAGCTGTGATACTGGATGAGAGACCTGCATAGAATGCTGTTGCTGTTGTGAAGCTTGTGACGAACATAGCAGCTGTTGCATGTTCTAGCGCATATTCTGTGCATTTGGTTATGGTGTCAACACCAGGATGATGTTTAGAGTACTGTTGCTGTGCGTGTCTCCACGCCAACACGTACACGAATATATCATCAGCGCCAATCCCAACGACAAAGATAGCTGTCATGATGTTCAAGAACGGAAAGAAGACCAGTCCAAACACAACAGAGTAGAGCCAATATGACAAAATAACGGCGAAAACTACTGCACTAAAACCCATGATGCTGATGAAGAGAGAGCCACTGTAACCCCACATGAGTCCTAAAATCAAGCCGACTGCTAGCATAATGTACCAGACATCGGCAAGCAGTTGGCTGTCGTATGCGACTGTCTTCAAGTTCTGAAAGTCGTAGGCCGTCAGTTTCACCCAAACTCCGTTGGTCAGTGGCGTTTTCTGCAGATTTTCTTTATACAAATTCTCCAGAAACTTTCTGCTTGGCATCTGTAGCGGACTGAAAACCAATGCATACGATAGCTTTGCTGACGTATTAGCAGCAAATGTTTTATCCACCATGAAATTCATTATGTTCGACAATATACGAAATTGTCTAGATGATTTATTTAGAGCAGTTCTCTTGTTGCTGTTACTTTTTTGCTGTAAAACTTGTATGAGTCCACGAACATATTGCACATCAGCTTCTTGTATACTGGAACAACTTGTTTTGTTTGTCAGAACAGCTACGTAATAACCAATCGAGAGCGATGGACAGCAGTCTTTGGTTGGCCCGCCTTTCACGCACTCTTCCTTAAACTGTGCTACTTTTCGGACAATAGCATCTTCTAAGCTGCACATTTCCCGCAGATTTTCTGCAGTGAAAAGGTCATCCCCATCCTTTACAGTTGTATAGACTGTCTTCGAAAGCAAGTAGGAGTATACTTCCATGGAGCATGTTGAGTTAACCTGGTTTGGTGACAGAGTATCTTGCATGGATGGAATATAACTGCTGGTCTGTAGTCTTTCAATGCCAGGCATTTCCTCGTAGAGATTGTTGTATGCGATGATTCTGTTGCTGATGGTCGTACCTCTAGCTTCAAAACCCTAGTGGAAGATCAAAGTAGCCATTGAAAAATCAAAAATTAAAATCATAATAAAGTTGTCATTATATGCTGATATTCAAAATAAAATTATATCAGCTGAACACTGCTATTGAACTGTGAGGCATGCATCTCTCATGTTCCGTATATATTCATAGATATGAGTCATAGAAATATGTTCTTGATTGTACAAGTTCTAATCCATTCTGGAATCCCGCTTTAAAAATACATTGACAGCGTGATTTTATTGCATATATTGATTATGTTAATTATGCTGATTATATTGCATATATTGATATGTTAATTATGTTAATTAAGACATTATAGGATCTCGTCTGCCAATTTGATTCAGTCTTTGGTGTTGATCTTTCCAGTAAGAAATCAGAGGCTAAGTACAACCTCCCGAAATAAGAAAAATGAAATTAAGCGCTTTTACTATATTTGCAAAGAAGATTATTTTTAATAAATAAATTGTAGGCAGGCATGTCATATTAGTAATAGTTTAGTACAAGGGTCTCTACTGTTTTAGGGTGTTGGAGTTTTTCACCAACACAACAAAAAAAGGTTGCTTCCAAACCCGGAGGAATAGACTGGGTTCTAAAACATGGAGTCCTTAGGAATGTTACCATATTTTTCCTATAGTATGAAAAACCGTAATAGCAGGAAAATAAATCCTTCATGAAAAATAAATCTATCAAAAGGTTGATGCATCACAAGGTATCCTTAAATATCCAAGGCACATTTTATTTTTTTTATTTCCATAAATTCAAAGTTTCATGGACAATTTGACATAAATTATCTCCATCTTTAATAACCGAGGAAAACCGAATCTCCCTTTAAATTGTAGTTAGCCTCTAACTACTAATTGCTGATGTCCCTATCTTTTTACCCCTTTTGGTTCATGCTTATTTTTGCTACATTGGTAAAAAATGAAGTGAAAGTAATAATGATCTGTTACATAGCAAAAATTTACTTGTAATACTCCAATGTTACATTATTTTTAGGATGATATCAAATTCGTCTTTACGTATTTTGAAACAAATCTGCTTTTGTGTATAAATTTTCAAAGAAAGTGCAGTAAAGTTTATTTGATTTACTAAAAGCGATTAACCAACTAGAAGCGAAGCAGTAATGAAAATCAAAGAAAGAAGAAATTCCAAGCTGTATGTTTCCTTCAACCTGCTCGGTATTGATGTCTCTGGCTCTTTTATAGAAAAATTGGAATCCATCTAGGCATCAGGCCTGCAAGAGACTCAGTGCCTAGGCCAATGGGATTTGGCTCAAAGAATATTTTTCTTGATCAATATTTATTCTAACTTATCAAACTCTTTTCCAAAACCAAAATCGTTTCTAATCGCCAAAATCATCGCTTCTCGCTGTGAAGAAGAGCAAACACCTACTGCTTTCACATCCCCTCCCTTTCTACCCCTTCCTTTCTACCCCTTCCCTTTGCGCTACTCATTCGTTTCCCTTCCTTCGCAACCACACTTTTTGAAAAACCTTCTTTCGCATTCCCTCATTTGAACCCCTCTCTCGGCTCTTCCTCTCTTGATACTGTCTATGTTTGTATTATGTCCCTTGGCATTCCTTTTCTGGAATGATCTTATTTTCATGTGAATCTCCCTTGGCATTCCTCTCTCTTGGTTTCCTCTCATTTTTCATGTTTTCCCTTGGCACCTCTTCCCGTTAACCATGCATGAAAATTCAGCTATTTTCAATACCAAGAACGCTGTACTAACCTTGCCTGGTGTCGAGAAATTTGGTAATGGCTTTGCCCCAAGCTCCTTGACAAATCCGGTTGCTCCAGCCACAATGACGGCAAGGAAAGTTGTAAGGAAAGCAATCCACGGATGTTTGGTAAGCAAGGATGCATATCTGAAAATAATAATAGATATTGATAAATTCGCAAAATATCAAATGTCTGTATAAAAATAGAAAAGAAAGTCAGTCATAAAAAATAGGTCACAGAGACATCTTTGAAATAGGAATATTAATCAAGCTAGAAGAGACAAAAGCAAATAATTAAAAAGGTGCGAATAATGTGAAGATGTCTCAGCTTTTGGACTTATATTAAGGAGTGAAAAGAATTGATTTTTGGTCATTATCCTGATCTTGTCTCATAATCATCATCCCCAAAATAATACAAAATACACCAAGGCATCGAGAGAATAAAATGGGTAGAACTCGGATCGATGCATTGTGTAACACTGCTCGTTGCATTTTTTCTGAAATTGACCTGGGTTTGCGGAGGCTTGGGGAACCGGGAGACATGAGTCCAAAAATGTTCCTAAAATCAAACAAAAATAATCTTGTAATATTATATTTTTCTTCCCTTATCTTTTATATTAGGGCCCTAAATATTAAGCCTCCGCAAACCCATTATGATATACAGATTAACACTTACATATTGAACTTTGCTTTACAACTTGAAGTGGCGTTTTTCACGTTGGCACGATTTGAATGAACGAAAAGATTTTCTTTTGAAAAAATTTGCTTCCAAAGCTTATCTATACAAGGCAGTTATATTTGTTTTACTCTATTTGTATCGCGATATTTATGAGTTGTTTAATCTATACCAGAGATGAACGGACTCGTGGAGACACTCTGCATGCGAGGTTCCCTTTTATTGCATCAATGATGCGCAAAAATGCCAATATACAAACGAAAAAAGCGAAAATAAATATAAAAAAAGCGAAAGCGAAGTTCAGGAAATTGAGTCAAAATCAGAAAATATGAGCAATACATAGTTCACAAACAAAATCAAGATACCGAATGCCATGAAATTGGATAAACGTACACAGGATCATATCAAGGCAAAGTGAAAGTAAAGCTTTCTAAATAGTGAAACCACAGATCAATATGACTCTACTTCCTGTCACTGCCAAAACAAGATGGGTTTTATTAGAAGATGGGTTTTATTAGCCCTAATCAATTAATTTAAATGCAGGTTGTGGAAAGTGGAATGGAACTGTATCTAAACTTGAAGTTTATAAGTTGTCTAGACGTTTACTCCCGTGCCCTACTTAAGCCATGATTCTGGATTGAAACGCAGTTCGAAGAACGATTCTGAGACGAGTATTCAGGCACCGAAATGCTCATTGATCGGGGATCATAAGCACATAATCTTTTTCTAAGTGTGATAATGAGCTATAAACGGATGGCACCAGTTGAAAAAAGATTTTGGTATTCAGCAAAGATGTTTTTGACTTAACATGCACCAACAGGCTGCAACAGCGTATCACGCGCGAGGCTAGGAAAAAGTTATGTTAACGTGACATTATTGTGCCTAAGGTCAGTTTTCGTAATACAACCTTTGGTCCCGATATATCTTTGAGCCAGGATCCTTCAGTTTTTATTAAGCTAAACAATAGTATCTTCATCAAAAAGTCCTATCGGTTTCCAGATTGGATACAATGGTCCACCATCTTGATTGCCAATGCCACTCTCGAAGCTCTCATGTAGGCTATTTTAAGCCAATAGATGTTTGCGGACCAGCAGGTTCGTGACCTTCTACATTCTCTTTTGCCATTCATCTAAGCACTTAGTGGGAATCTTTGCAAATTTATAAGCAAGCCCCTTCATATTCCCTAAATTTTTCAACTTCATACTGAGCAAAGCCATTGTCTTACGTCCAGCTTAGATCCCGACAAGATAGCAGAATTTCCGAAATATTCGTACTAATTTGGCGAATTTAAAGGCATGCAGTTTCCTAAACACCTACAACTGAACCCTTGCTACCCAACAATTTTCACCATCTAACGACCTTTCTCACCAAGAATGCTCACCTAAGAAAACCCAAATTTACAAGAAGGCCAGCAGCGGCGGATTGGCGAAAAATGTACCCTCTCCTTATTCTAAAAATGCGAAAAGCCTCTGTCTCACAATGCTTAGAATACCGAACTGACCTGAATGTTTAGAAACCGAGTCAGTCGTTTACTCAAATATTGCATATACAATTGAGTACCGGACAAAAGAAAAGCTTTTGCCTCATAAACTTTAATTCGTACTGATTTATATATTTCAACTTCTAGTCGGTCGTTTACTCAAAAATTTCATACTCTGGTGAGTATTGACAGAATTCAAAGGACATTAAAGAACAACTTAAAGGCATAAATGGCAATAAAGAGAGGCGGAGAGGAATAGAATAATTTAGGTTTTAAAAAAGCATGACGAGTTCAGAGGCAGAACCATAGCAATGGGCAAAATCAAACAATATTTGCATAATAAAATAGGCTAGCTCTTGCTTGTCGCAGTTTGGGGCCTGACAAAAACTCTCTATTCCTCCTTCCTTTTAGAATACGACGACCAACTGCAACATTTTATTACATGGGTTTGTCTTGCTTAGATTTCCACTTATTTTTGCTTAATTCCATTTAACGAAGATGTTGCCGTCAGAATGCGAAATTGCATTGACTAAGTTGAATTGCGAAGTATTGTTTATCTATTCATCTATTTGCTTACTCATTTTTCTATCGTTAGGCTTCAAAACAGTGGCAAGAAAACCGAGAGTCAGAGATTGCGTAAGAGACCTCAAGGGTGCGAAATAGGTAAAGGCACATTTATTCATGAGCTATCACATATTTATTAAGTTAATCTCAATTTTTGGACTCTTGAAAACTTTGCAATTTGATCCCATAGTTGCTGGTTTTTGGTCAAAGGGATTTCAAAGGGTTTTGAATTTTATCCTTCTTTGTTCTTGGTGCAAAGTTTCTTGTATGAAAAAAAACAGGTAAAGGCTACGAGTTTATAGATAACAGGTTTAAAAACTTAAAGATTATGGGGATTTATATGGATCGGCCAAGTTAGTTTTTGCATTTTTGCACTGCTAAAAAACAAAGAAGGCAAAAATATCTTAAAACTAAAGCAAGAAATGATAACTAGTTACATTGCGGAATTAAAACGGGGCTCTTCCCCCTTATACTTACACTGAGCTTCCTAACACGGGGTCTGGGGGCTATACTAGTGGTCTTTTATACAAGGCCTAGTAGTCAAACAATTGCTGATTGCAAAGCTTTGTCATATATTATACAAAAGGCGCTGCCAGAGTTGCTCTTTCGTTGAATTTTCTTTGCTAATCAATAAGATATCTCTTTATTTGAATTGTATATATATGCAACTGAGAAAGGGTGCCTTTGGACGAAAATGAACTTAAAGAATCAAGAATATAAACAACTTAGGTAATGAACTTGAAGGATCATCTTCGTCACAATGTTGCTTCCTTGATTCATGAAAACAGTAGCAGAAATCCAAATAATTTTTTGTTCTGTGAAATCCTCAAGTTCTGTGAAATCCTCAAGACATTCATTTGACCGGCCTTAACGAATTATCACAATTTCTGTCAAATATGGCAACATTTTTCCTTTGCAAATAAAATAAATAGAAATATTGACAAAACTTCAAATCTTGGGCAAAATCTTACGGAAATCTTTGTACTTTAATTTACTGGCAAAGATGTCTCTGAACCCAAATCAATCTTGTTTTTATCCGGGTCAGACAAGAATTACCCGTTCAATCTTTCCTGCCTTTAACTATTATCCATCCCTTGATGTTTGCTTTGTATACCTTGACATTTCTAGAGCGTTTGATTGAGTATGGCACGAATCGCTTCTTTATTATTTACGCATATGTGGTGTCTGGAAATTTGGTAAATCTTCTCGACCGTTTTCTGTAAGATCGTAAACAGCAAATTTTTCTAGGAGGGAAACATTTCTGCACGTGCTTCGAAAAGCTCAATTTTGGGACTATTACCCTTCTTTGCATATATTAATAAGTTGATCGAGGGTCTGCAATGTACTGGGTGTTACTGACAAAACTTCCCTTCTCGCTGTTAAAAAGGCTACTTGACTAGCAGCTGATTGCATAAGCCAAGACTTCAGTTGTATAGTACTATGCGCACATAGATGGAGTATGGAAGGCCAAAGCGCAGATGGAGAGATAGCATCAAGAAGAAGGCAAGAAGAAGCAATGGATGCAAGTGGCACAACCAGGGCCGGATTAACCCAAAGGCTACTGTGCCATTGTCTAGGGCCCCGCGAATTTTAGGGTCCCCCACTAAACAAAGTAAATTTTTTGATCCATAATAACATAGATTCAAACATTTTTCTTTCTCCTATTGGCCATATGACAAGCTCTGTTATTCGTTTCTCGTGAGGATGGAACCAGACTTGAGTAACGGTCCCAATTGTTTCTAAATCTTAAATTTTGAACGCGCGAGCAGAAAGAACTGGTTAAAACCAGTGGTGTAGTCATAGATTTTTAGGAAGAATAACGCAAAAGTCAAAAACAAAAGCAGCGTTTTATTGGCGCTTTTCAGAAAAATATCACATTTTGTTCTTTTTAAGGCATCTCTGCATTGAACATTTGACTGCTTGCGTTATACTCAATTTAATACATTTCATCCTAGTGATATATGCAATGCTCTGCAGGTCATATTTTCGTCCCTTTTCTTCGCATCCTCTTTAATGAAATTGGTATCATTTTTGGCCACTTTTTATGTCCACTTGCCCATTTGCCACTCATATTTTGCTGTGTTTTCTACAACGTCAAGCCAAAAGCTGCGGTGGCAAAAAGTGAGCCATCTCGAGTAAAGAAGATAAATAAGGTAAAGAAGCAAAAGAAGATAAAGAAGAAGAATAAGAAGATAAGGAAGGTAAAGAAAAAGAAGAGGAAAAAGAAGAATATAAAGAAGAAGAAGAAGAATAAGGTAAAGAAAAAGAACTAGGAAAGGAAGAATATAAAGAAAAAGAAGAAGAAGATAAAGAAGGTAAAGAAAAAGGAATAGATAAAGAAGCAGAAGAAAAAGATAAAGAAGGAGAAGATAAATAAGAAGAAGAAGAAGATAAAGATGAAAAAACAAGACGAAGAGTATGGAGGTTGTCCTTCAACCCTGATTCAAGAAAACATGCCGTAGAGATGATACTCTCAGTAAAGAGAGATGAGCATAAACAAAATTGGTCTTACGTTAGATCTGAATCTTTCCTAGACATACACGCAGCTATTGCCGGATCGAAATAAAGCAGTATGAACACTTAAACATATTTTTGAACATCTTTTCAAGAAGACCTTGGATGCATTTTACAAGCTTTATGCTCGACCAAACATTTTCTATGATGGTTTTTTAACCACATTCTATAGAAGGAGGCCAGTTCAAAGAGCCATGGAAAAAAATGGATGCAACAACTCAAATCGCTGCAAAATTCAAGTCGATGCAATATTCAAATCGCTGCATTTTTCAAATCGATGCAATACTCAAATCGCTGCATTCTCAAATCGATGCAAAATTCAAATTGCTGCATTTTTCAAATCACTGCAAAATTCAAATCACTGCAATATTCAAAGCGCTGCAATATTCAAATCACTGCAATATTCAAATCACTGCAATATTCAAATCACTGCAAATTTTCGGTTCTGTAAAATGATCAGGATCAATTGACCCTAGCGAAGAGCATTTTGTGGCCACAAGAATTTCAGACAATCACAGCAGGGACCCGAACAGTTCAAAGTAACACTCTCTCGTCACAATTGAAACTTTCCCCCTCTCCCAAACTCTTTCCAGCTCTCCCCAGCTTTTCCGTCTCTTCCCAGCTCTCCCCGGTTCTCGCTGGCCCTCCCAGATACTCAACGGCGTATTTGTGCTAGAAAGAGATGCTGGATGAGACCGTTCGCTGGACTCTATGAATCTTATGTTAACTATTTGATAATAATCCAATTTGACAATTTGACAAAAATTATAAACAAAGTAAAAGTTGACTAATATTTCGCTCAGGCATGTGGGGCTTCATCATAGTGAAAAAAAACCAGAGTAAAACGGTTTTTGCTATTGTCACGGGACGTAGGATAATGAAAAACATTGTCCAGTGGCTGTAATGACTTGAAGACATCACAACCACTCGACAATGAAAACCAAGGAAATGCAAAGCCAGAAAGAGGTACTTTCGATTTGTTCCAGTCATCCTGATTCAATAAACGCGGTAACAAGGGCCATCCTGTGAAAAACCTCCGTATTTTGATAAACCTCCACTGAAGCCCCGCACTTTTTCAGAGATAAAAATTTTTTGACCGTCTTTCTTTAATCATTCTTGAAAACAGAGTATGAAATACAAAGAAACAAGCTGTTTATAAATTGCTTGATTTTATTTCATTCTATTTACTGAGGTATATTTCTATTATTTGTCTATAATGTGCATCAATTTAGTAGATAACTTTCTGTATCGTGGCAGTGTCTGCATTTAGGATGTGTAAAAATATGGCCTACTGAAAATACTCGAGACAAAGAAGATGCATAGTTTCTGTTCAGGGAGTAAAAATTATTTCAATCAATACAACAGCTTCTTGGTATTCACATTGATGTGTACTCTGAACCAAAGGCCACCCTTTTTTGCCCCAACGTCTGTCACTAGAGTTTAAGCATGTTTCCTCCTTTCCCCTTCCAAATTTTCCTAAAATGTTTGTCAGTTTTAATCAATGTTTTAATGAGAATCCTCGAATTGTCTATTCGGAGCGGTATAGTAATTTATTAAACTTTAATCTGAGATGCACTTTTAGCCATTCTAGAAGGCTTAATTTCAAAAATTTTCTTCCGCGTGGGACCCAACCACTGTGGGTCCTGCTCTGTCCCTAAACTTGGTTTTTGGCCCCCCAGGTCAATTTTGTAGCGCCGTCTCTGATCTTGTAAACCAAATAACAACCAAACTAGCAACCTAGTAACCCCCCATTTATGGATGGGCTATTTTAGCCTACAGCTAATTCAATGCAGCAATGTTCAATAATGAAATTGAAGATATCTCAAATTTCTGTCAAAAGAGCCATTTAGGATCCACATGCAAACAATCTTCTAGTGTTTACTTCCTTTTAAATGTATTGAAGCAAAACGAACATCTGCTTTTCCATTGTTACTTGTTTCTGCAAGTTTTGTTAAAATCGTTCATGCTGTAAACAGTGTGGTTTTAGATGTCCCTCTACCATTTAATCCAGGCAAAACTGGCACCGTGGAGCGTTGAGAAAAGTGAGGGGGGTCCAAAAAAGTGCGGGGGCTACAACCGAACAAAAAGAGGCATTACTGGTGATTCGCTTCTTGATATTTTGCATTTTTCGCTAAATGTGGGGGGGGGCTAAAGCTCCCCCAGCCCCCTGCTGTGCCTACAGAATCTGAAACCCTTCAACTTTAACTTAAATCTTTCAGAGTCAAGCACCCCACTTTTCTACAAAAAGCTAGGATGTAAAATCATTTGCAATTAAGTTGCAGTTAAGTTGCCATTTCTACTTTGCTGCCATACCAACTTTAAACTTTTAACTTCTGACGAACACTTTGGTCAGAAATAACGAAACCTCTCCACCAGCGATATGAGGGAGTTGATGGCGATCGGACATCTTGGTAACTGTGGCAGAAAAATACTTGCTGAGTGGAATGTTTATGATTCATTGAAAAAAGATTGGAGGGGAAACAGGCCTGTGAACGGCTTTGTAAAGTGTCCTTTATTAGCTACAACATGTCATCTTCTCTGCCTTTTCACGTTCATGATTGCCAATACATCCCTAAAAGTTTGCCCTTATAAGACTTTTCCTTGATAAAACAACTGTTTTGGGAATCCTTGAACCGAGGTGGTATGACGAAACGCATTTTGATTAGTAAGACATCACTTATGGCATCACTGTAAAGCGGAACTAGGAGTAACTGACACTCTAGTATTGCAAGATGAGAAAGGTACTATTATGCAAACAGTCTCTTTGCTATCTGCTTTGCTAAGCGATTTGAAATACAGGCAATAATTGTGTTCTTTCTGTTCATTCTGTTCGGGACTCACGGTTCCGCTTATGACAATCTAAAGAACCTTTTAGCGTCTAAAGAACAATTATAAATACTGTTAGAGGGATTTTCAACTTAGGAAAAACACTGTAGCAAAAAAGACGATAAAAGAAGGAGTATGGAAGAAGATGGATTCTGTTAAAATAGATTCTGTTAATAATAGATACATTAGTGTTTATTCTTAGAATTAAAACTTAAAAATAAAAGGGTTCGCTCGCTGACCAGTCTTACAGCACCGAAATTTTATCCGCGTGGTTCTAATGGCAAATCAATGCGATACCTTGCGGGTTGCTAGACATTCGAGTATCGTGTAATAACAATACACATGCAGTCACTTTCAAATTAGCATACCTTCGTCTAATCTGATCCGTTGTTCCCTTTCTGGCAGTCACTTGCATTTTACCCTCAAAATCTGCGACATCACTTTTCTCAGCTAGTTCAGTTTCAATAACATTGTTATTGCATGAGTCTCCATTTGCCTCCATTGTTTGTGAATGTCGAACAACGCAGAATTACCTGTTGCTCGCCAAACCAAACAGTAGCAGAGTTGATATAACTGAGCTAGACAGACCGGCTTCAGCGCATAGACAGTGGAGTGAGATAACAGATTGTGTTTCAAGGGAGTCTGGGAACCATCGTCTTGTGACGAAATCCGCAATTCTGGCAATGCCAGCGGACAAGAGCATGATATTTGTGCAAAGTTCACAATTCTTATGAGCAAGGAAAAAAGGGTCAAGGGGCTGGAGTTCAAGAATTGAAAACAAGAATTGAAATTGTCTGGTTTACTTCAAAGGATTGTAACAGGGAAGATAATCTTTTAAAAGGGAAGATAAACATCTATGGCTTTGTTCAGAAGCCAAATAGAGTTATTATAAGAGGATCAACTAAAATTCAAGCAACTGTCTCCTAAGATGTTAATGCAATATATCCTGGTTCAGTTGATTAAACAAAAAAGATTATGATTGTAATAAAATCATAAGAAACCCTGCTGCAAGTTTTAGGGCAAAGCATGTGAGTGCAATGCCCAAGTACACCCATAATTATTGTTGTTATGCGAAATTTAAAGAATAAGCGGGTAGATAATGCGATAAAAAAACTTTTTGGAAAATGGAAAGTTTTTTCTAGCATTGGCCAGTACTGTTAATATAATAGCCCGTGCTACTTTGATTTCGAAAATAACTTTTTTCAACACATAAAAACAACTCAATCTACATTTAGATACTCTACAGCTGCCGTAGCTGAAAAGAACATGATACAATCGGGGTCCAGCCACGACAGCCAGCAACAAAAATGTTGAAATATTCCTTAAAACTAAAGAAAAACACATAACAACTCAACAAATACATTCACACCAGGCGTCACAGAAAGAGCAAACCTCCAAAATCGACATGCCTCTCTTCACAAGACGCTCTTTGCAAGGCAGAAGAAAAGTGACATACAAAACAGGGAAATGTTTCTGCTGTTTCACGCTTTAGATTGGATCTAGAAACTTTTACGTAGATTTGATAAAGTAAAATAATTTGGCATTCCAGCAAAAAAATCTTATCTAACGAAAAAACCGGGTTGTCTCTACTGGTCCAAGCAAGAACTCAAACGAAAGATTGAACAATACTTGCACGAACCCTAACCACAATTTCATAATGTTCCAGGCAATGCTTTCTCACGTGTTTAATCCATTACCGCCAATTTCATTTTGCTACTGGGCCCTAAGGCTTACAATCAGTACATTTCGGCCTATTGTATATTGATGTGGTTTGCAAAGGTCAAAGATGCTCTTAAAGTATCATTTTGTCTTTGCTTTTTAGACATAGATAAATATGACCCTTCCAATTCACCCTCCTAGCAAAAGGAAAGAGATTTGATTAGCGGGATGCCATAAGTGGAAAATGGCTGCCAATTCTCATTCCAAAACAAGCACGAGGAGAAATACCCTCTAGGTCATCTGTGTTCGCTGAAATACTTGAATGAACTTCCATCGAGAATTGAATAGGTCACAAATAGACTCTGTAAAAGCTCTGAATACTGGTGTGAAATATAAGCTCACTCGTCATTCACACTCGTCATAACCATACTGTTGTTTTCTGGTTCTTTTTCAGAACGTTGCGATGTGTCTTATTTCTTACGCTAGCTCGAGCCTCGTTTCAGTACAGCTGTAAAGGAAAGGCTATAGTAAGGGGAACTCCTGCCTATCGGGTGAAGCCTGAAAAAACTAGCGCATGCGTCAACTTCTACGAGGCTTAGCATGTATCTGTCGGGGAAATTTTAACAAAGAATGATAGTAGACAACTTTATTTGAGACAAAATGCCCCATGATAGTGAACAAATTCAATCATGTCTCATAATTCGTTTATATCTGATTAACGAGTGATAATTTGTCATGGCTAAGTTCTTCTAATGAAATCGAGGTTAAAGGGGACTTAAGGAATTCTATTGTTGACTCAGGCTTCAAAAACAACAAGGAAACCGACGAGAGTTACTCTTCTGCCTATTTCCTATGCTGTACTATAGTGAAAAGACGCGATACCAGGACAGCTCTGTCCATAGGGTGGCATTTCAAGAGGACAGCGTGTTTTAGAGCTCTTCTTGTAAAAATGCAATGACATTACACTTTGTAAGCGTAATTATAAATGGAACACCACGAACACCAATGTCAATGTTGCTGAAGGAACGACTCCTCCCTGAGGAAGACCTGGCTTGGTGGTGATTTTTAATCTAGGGCTTAGGTTCTTATAAATTGGTGCTTTCTTCTTTTCTTATATTTCTCTATTGTGCCACTCTTATCAAGCCTCACACCTTAAATAGCTACATCCTTGTTTTCTTCGTAAGAATTTCAATTTTAATCCTAGCTAAATATTACAATATTCAATTGATTAATGACGAAAATGGTCAAGATTTTTTTCAATTTGAGCAAACAAAAGCCAGATTAGAATGGCTATTTATTTCTACACCAATTCTTGTTCTACGAATCGCCCAAAGAAAATTGGTGCACTTTTTCGCCAAGTGCCCTATAACGTAGTATCGTATACACGTCTTTTGATTTGTAAGAAACATTATTTTAAGAAACATGAGGCTCAGGTTGCCAAAATTTTAAGAAACATTTAAAAAACATTGGCAGGCTGAGTCAAGCAAAAAAGGATCTTTTTTGAAAAGTAATGTGGTTCAGCATCGAACTAAAAACACTTTTAAGAAACATTTAACTAATATCAGCAGGCTGAAAACATGAAAATATTAAGAAACAGTCAGGCTCAACTCGGATTTCATGTTTCTTGTAAAAAGAAAACGTGTATGCGAGTCAATACTGTAGTGTAAAAGGCATTAGGCCCATTGACCAAACCATTTGCATACAAGTTTGATTGCATCGATTACCAGCTTCTATATATTTTGAGTGATCAGAGCAAATTTGACCAAAAAGCAGCATTTTGCAACGAAGTTCTTCTTTATCTTCATCAAAAACAATGGTGCCAGAGTGTGTACTTGTGGTACTTTCCATAAAGCAAATTTTGTCATCTTTAGCCTGAGCATGTGAATTACAGGAGAGGAGACAATAATAAATTATTGTTTGCTCTGTTGAGAGATTATCAGCAACAATGGCACATAATTTTATCTATCCGACATAACGGTAACACATGATAGTCTCTTTGGCTCCAAACAACGTTTTCACACAAAAAGCGAGTTACGCAATAAACATTGTCAAAGACTTTCGCGAACAAACAATTTTCTATTTTCTTTCAATCGAGGATTCCTTCAAAAGGTCAACAGTAAACATATTATAGATTTTAGCAATGCTTTCAGTTTATAGAAGTCATTTCCAAAATTTAACTCTAGCAATTATAATTTGCACTGACCTTGCATGCTTTAATCAGCTATTGGTTCTTCTGTCAGCAATAGAAACAGTAACATGAACAACAAACCAGCACGTAGAAATGCGTCTTTTCCGTGCACTATCCAAGGGTTTATTGAGGTTCGTTCGGCCATACATCCTGTTCTACTGTATGGTCAGAATGGGGAGTGCAGCATCGCAGCAAAGCAATGGTCGCTAAAAGGTAGAAACAATTCAATGCCGATGTGAACTGATGAATCAACATAGATTGGTACATTAAGCATGCAAACAAATCTTTAGGGAACCGATACCTGTATGATGCAAATCACTGCTACCGAAACATGGGTGAAGAGAGCATGCCTCTTTAATATGGAAGAAATGTGCTCCCATAAAAGCAACTTCTGCTTTTCAAACAAAAGATAGAGAAATAGCGTAGGAAGTTCCAAAGGACAACGGAGTCTTTTATATTGCTTTTAAAATATGTTGCATGATAAATAAAGTAGATAGTAACCACTGTTTTGCAAGAGAGAAATTGCTTACACATTTGGCTAAAAATTTTCAATATAATTACTCCTGTGATTGTGTAACAGTAGATTTGCGTTATCAAATACAAGATTCACAATCCCAAGCAAAGAATACTAATTATTGATCGAAGCGTGATTCCCGAATCGTCGGTTTTTTCGGCAAAATTATGTCATTTGTCGGCAAATTTGCTTGCTTTTGTGGACATTGCCCCCCCCCCCCACTTGAAAAATGAATTTCGGCCACTGCTACGTAGTCACGTGATTTTTGTCGCGGCGTTAAAAGAGGGGCGTTCATGAATCATTTGGATAATGAAGGCAATCATTCTTGGTTTATATCGAAGTTTACCATACCAGTGATCATAAATTTTCGTTGAGTTCTGAAAGGATTTAGCATATCTTCAATTGTATATGTTGTCATACCAGGGTATAAGGAAGTGTGGCCTTTATGTTCGAATTAAAGCTCCTCTTTTAATACCGGGATTGCCTGTTAGAGGGACGTTAAAAAGAGCAAAGGCGTTCAATATTCCATAGGAAATTCAAGAAAAAAGCGGATATTTGTGTCAAAACACCATATGCTCGTTCTCGATAAAATTCAGAGCAAACTGACATCAGTCAATAACAATTTCCAATCTTATTGGATCCGGACAAATGTTGCCGTAATCTTTATTAAAATAATTTGTTTCTGTTTCTGAATACAGCCACAGCTTTGCGATTCAATGGCGCCTGATTTAACTCGTCCTTTATTTACCTTTGTTCCAAGGGCAATTTTCTTCCGGGTCTGCGCTGAAATTTGGTCCTTGTGACTTTCTAGTACGTGTCTCTCCATTCGAACTGCAACAAAAACAATTACAGGAGCGGATCCAGCAATTATTCTGAGGGGTGCTCATACAGAAAGTTTCATAACTAAGGGCGCTGCTATTGACAAACATCGTACCCCTGTTAATATGCCATAAAGATAATTTAAGCCTGCTGTAACCTGAGATGCCAGAATGACTCAATTTAAGAATTTATGTAAAAGTTCAAAAAAAATTTAAAAGTTTATTAACTTTCTTGCTACACTTCAATCAGTAGCTTACTTATCAGTAGTTGTAACTTAAGATTCAATAACACAGATATCCATAGAATACTTTCAGCTATTCCTAGACAAAGGCAAATAGTTCAAAAAAATTGATACAATTTTACTTAAACTTTACAAAACATAAAGTATCTTTTGAAGATCTGTGGAGTATCATGTTAAGATGGACATCCTGCGCGAAATTTTTTAATGAGTTACAGGTGAATAGAATGGAACGTCAGGCACTACGGAGCAGGATGGTTGGAAGGGACTATAGCTCTAAGACTTTTGTCCGTTTCTGCAGAGCGCCTTGGAAATAATTGTGATCACAACACAACAACAGTATGTTACTGACGTAATAAGGAGCACACTTTTTAGCAAGAGTTTAATTAGAAAAGTGTTATAGTTATACGTAGCAGAAAGTTATGCCAAGAATACGCCTAAAAATATAAATGTAAACAATACAAACATCAGCGAGGATCAGCATTTAAAATATCTAATAGTTTCATCCTGCGTGGATGTTTTTGGGCGAATTGGTCAATAATCATGTCAATTGAAACACGTATGTCACGATGAACGTGCAACAACGCCAATGCATTCAACCTTTCTTGCTTCATGGTACTTCTAAGATACGTTTTTAAACGACGAAGAGCAGATATTGATCTCTCGCAGGTACAAGTGGTTACAGGTATGGTTGCAAGAATTTGGAAAACTGTATACATGTTCGGAAATGTAAGTCTATCAATTAGTGGCAAGAGTGATTGCACGGTTGAGGGTGGAGTACCTTGATAATCTTGCCATGTTTTTTCCCACATATCCAGCTCCAGATCAATGTGCCTTTTTTCGGGTAGATCGTCCCAACAATGGGCAAGAAAACCTCCGAACTTTACTCGCCAGTCTTGCTGGCATACCACTTTTGCTGGAAGTGCGTGGAACGCACTAAGCACAGCAATATTCGTGTCTGAGAAGCGAAGCGATATCTGGCCACAAAGATGATCGAGAAATGGTATCGATAAAGAACGTTGATAGTATTCGGAGGGTGTTTGAGCTGGTGTATTTGTTCGATTCAATTGCCTTGCCACTGTCCTTGGAGCTGATGGCACAGTGTCAACGAGCTCTGCCAAACTGGTTGCCTCTTCAAACCAAGAATTATGATTGACAGATATCTCGGTCCTGAGCTTTGAGAGTAACCCGTTTAGAAATTTCACCTTTTCGACACATTTCACAACATCGTAATCAGTAGCTTGCAGTTGTTTGGTTAGTGGTCTTGTAAGTGCAAGACAACGATAGACAACGACGAGTGTTACAATAAACTGGAATGAAACAGTTCCGTAAAAAAGCCCGGATGCATCTCTACACGAATCTGAACTCCACGTTCCTTCCAAGTTATCTTTAACTTCAGCCAGTGCCGCAACAATTGCCTGGAAAAGCTCAACAAAAACCTCAAGACCATCAATTCGTGCAACCCACCTTGTGCGGCATACGTCAATCAGATGGTTATGACGAGATTGAGGAAACAAAGATTTTATTTTGTCGCAAAGCAATACATATCGTTTTGGGTGCACATTAAAAAATTCAGACACGACTCGCACGTGCCCCATCATATTTTTGACCATTTGAATTTGACAAGCTGACGCTATACA